TATTGCTCGATTTGCCCATTAAAACTAGAATAAATTGGCTAGAAGATATTTGATATGCATAAAAGACCCGAATCATAAATTCCATTTTCAATTCTCAGAGACCCAAATTCGGATTAAGTGGCTATAGCTTCCGGTTAAGGGCCCCAGCTCCTCGTTATGGCATTGTAACCCGAAGCTTTGCAATTACCTTGGCGGCTTTAATGGTATAATGCCAGTTAACTATAGTGTGAGCGGTACTCTCGTTATTACAACAGCACTTTATGATCTGGCAGGCTGTTGAACAAACAACCCAAAATATGTTTAACCCATAATTAAGTAGCATCAAATACTGCCCACTGGAAGTCTGGGGGCTGCTTCCAAGGCATGGGGCTACGAAATGGGCCAGGTTCCAACATCGGCGGGATGCCAATGGCAGATCCCGCCCTGCGGCAGCTCTTGCATGAAGAATTGCTGGGGCGCAACGCAAATAGCTAAAAAAACAACAACAAGAACTACAACAAAAAAATGGAAATCATCTTCACATTTGGCGCTAAATGTTTTTCGCTGCCTTACAAATCGCCAGCAATTTGCTTGGCCCAAACAAATTGAGTTCCCCTTAAAGCCTAGGCACATGAATGCGCTCGAAGCTCCGACTCGCTCTCGATGGGCCAAGTGTGAAGCAGTTGACAGGCGGCTGCCACGAAGCGTCAAAGTGACTTCAGCTATGCCTCCGACCGCCAGGTTATTTTGGTTTTTGCCATTCTCGCCCAACAGCCACACAAATTGCAAATGAGTGGCCGACACAAAAACGCTGCACGGAAATGAACAAGAATTCTTGAGCAAAAAGCGGCCGAAAATTGTATCAAAGGCGGAAAAAATAGCCAGAAGCAGCAGAAGCGGCAGTAGCAGCAGTGCCCAAAAACGATTGCATTTGACCTCAAAATCTATTAGCACGTCGAACTCTGGCGGCTATGAAATGCAATGCAATTGCTGCGGCGCCCCCTCGGGCGACTCGGGGCCCGAAAAACTGTGAAGTTGCCGCAAGAATAACAACAGCAGTGGCAGTAATTGCTACCACACTCATGTCTGGGTGCATCAGCGACACGTAGGTCAATGCATCAGCATCGGGCGGCCAGCACATCTCAGACATGTGCTGCTGGCATCTTTTATCTCCGGGGATTTTTCAAAAATGTTCAAAAGTCTCGTTGTTTGAATGATCTTTAATTCAGTTCTGAATATGTTTGAAGGATTTTAATCAGTAAAGGAAATAGTTGGTGATTAATTGTTGGCCAAACAAAATGTCACAAAGTACATGTTGAGTCATAAATTCATTTTAGCCTCTGTGATTGATGAATTGTTTACCCTAAAAAATGTCTCAAAATCCTCTTTCTTTTAAATCAAGTCGTAAAGTGTTCAGTTCAGCTGGCTGAGATCTGCTTGATATATGTTCAACTACTCGGGTCCCGACCCATTTCTCAGCTCTCAAAACATCTGTCATTCAAAGCGGAGATGCAGGTACCTGAACAGACAGCAGCAAATATTTGTTCAGTAATCCAATTATGAGTATTTGTACTGCCCCGAAACATTATGCAAATATGCAAAACGCACATCATTCGGATGATTTATGGGTCGGGAAGGTCCGAGAAAGGAGGGAAATAAATCACAATGGGCTGTCCCGGAAAGTGATCTTTATCGCTGGGATGTGCCAATATAAAATTCAGATTTAATTGCCCGCCTAGCAAGACTTTTAGGAACAACAAAGACTAGCAAATGGTGCTTGCCAAATCTGCTGTAAAATAAATAAACAAAATGCACAATGGAGCTGGAGCTAGAGTGGGCACTTTCAAAACATTCGCCTGGGAATCGCAGTCGGAGTCAAGTGATTTGCTCGGCTTAGACTTTTATGCATTTATAATGACATTTTTCACACAGTTTATTTCCAAAAGCTTAAGCAAAAACCACTGTGCGTTGCCATTTAAAATGTTTAACATTTTAATTTGGATTTTTGTTTTAGTTTGGCTTCGGGTTTCGGTAAAATACTTTGACAGTGTCTATTCAGATGTATAGCAGAATGTATAGGTAGCATTTCGGTGATTAATTATTAGGAATTTGCATAACATTTGCTCGAGTCAAAGATTAACACCAAAAAACAAATGAGTCAGGCAGGAAACTGGAATATTTGGCATGTAGATATTATCAAGAAAAAGTTAGTTTGGAATTACCAGAACATTAAAGTTCCTCCTCCAGATCGTGACGGTGACTAGTTAGTTATTATTCCCAAGGATGCCAATGGCCTTTTGCGTCGGCAGACAATTTCTCTCCCACCATTAGCCAAATGACCAGCATATCCATCCGCACCTGCATGGCACTCCCAATCGAGCTGAGCAAAAAAAAAAAAACGGCAATCAAGTCTCTGATTTTCCTTAGTCCGCTGTGTTAATCGTGGGGGCTTTCGATTGAAGATGCGCTGACTTTATGCAATTTTTCGCAACAGGAATGGCCGGCAAGGCGAGTCAGCCGTTTCATAATGAGTATCGGTAAAGGTGAAATTTTTCCTATTATTTCACTTGCACACGAGTTACAAATAAAATGAAATAAAAACTATTCGAGGAGGAGGAGAAGGCCACACAAGAGTTAGTGCAAGGCAGCGGAATAGATAAGCTGCCACAATCCAGCAACACGAACAGCCAAAACAAATAAATCAAATCTTCAAATAACACGTATACGACATGTGGTCGACGGAGAAGAAGGCAGCTGAAGCAGCAGCAATAGCAGAGCACCAGTCGCAGCGGCAAGCAGCAGCTTGGCGTTGCCTTAGTTTCTATGCTCTGTGTTTCAACACTTTGCCACAACACAATGCGGCAAAAAGCGCAAAAAACAACAAGAAAAGCTGCGGAAAAAAACAAATGCTTCCTTCATGTCAGCTCAGCAACCGTAAAGGTTAAGCGGCAACTTGACAAAAAGGTTAAAACGATTTAACAGACATTTGGCTGCAATGCGAGGAGTGTGCCCCGTCCAAAAACTCCTCACACTTGAGTCTGTAAAACCGACCCGGGCAATCGCTGGATGCATCGATCCTTGGCAGATCCATCTTGAAGTCCCAGTCACAGTCCCATTCCCCTTTCAAATCTCCCGAGCTCCTCGAAGCTCTGAGCATGTGTTGAAGGCGGAACCAAATTTTGATTGCAGAGACCCTCGGCATAGCGCGGAAAATGCAACCTCAGTCTTAAACAGTTAACTGGCGCTAGCTTATTATTTTTTTTTTCGACTTTTTTTCTTTTTGGTGTTGGCACAACACCTGCTCTTGCCATCGCGTTGACATTTTTTGTTGCCCCGATAATAATGATTCGGCGGCGGGGAAACTTCCTTATTTGTCATTGTTGTCGTTGAACACTTTTCAGCCACATTTTACCGTCTCTTGAATTTCTCGCCTCGCTTTCTTATGAATTATTGGGCAAATAATTTGATTAATTTACTGAGGAAGTGCCCAGCCACAGAATATAATTTATTGATGAAGCTAATTCATTAATAGCAATTTATAAATACGATCATTATATAAATTCTCGAATGAACCAATCCGATTTGACCTTCGCAAGACTAATAGCCATTTAAGGCAATTCGATTCGTTTTGGCAAAGCCTTGACAATGACAAACTCTTGATTCGTGTAATTGCAAATCGAGAATCGTGAATTGAAATTAAAATCTGCACAGACGAGAGAGCCCAGTGCAACTCTTGAACTTTAACAGATCGCTTGGCCAATCGACTTAATTTACAATTTTTTATTAAATTTTAATGTCAAGCCTTGTACATGCCTATTACCAAAGTGGCGGCAGTAATTTAATTTTGTCTACCTAAATTACGTTATTTTGACGAAATTAAATTTAGGTGTGAGAATATTTTTTATGCAAACAGCCACCGAGACGAGAACCCCGCCAAGGCAATCTACAAATTTAAATACAAAAAGTAATTTCGGCAACCGAAGAATCCAACAGACAATGCATAAAAGCAGAATCTTCGTCGTCTTCGTCTTAAAACAACTGCAGCTAATTTCAATTTAAATTTATGTTCGCATCGAATGAAATTTTTCGAGAATCTGTTCGATTTTGCATTGTTATTGAAAATAGCCGCGTTACGTAAAGACAATAAATCTATTGTCTTGTCGACGGTTTTGGTTAATTATCCAAACCATTGAAAATGATTTAATTGAAAGAGTGTCGCCGGGCAAGCCGGTTGGTGTTGATCTCTCTGGTTTTTTGCTCGTGTCTCCCCAAGTTTTGATATTGTTTGCTGTTGTGCAAATTAAAACAATTATTTGAAATTATGCAAAGTACGCAGAAACTACAGAAACTAAAGAAACTACAGAAACTACGGGAACAGCAGCAGCGACAACAGCTGCAAAAACGAGCTGACGGAAGCGAGCGATACGATACTTGTGGCAAAGTGAATGTCTTGGGGGATTGACTGACTGCCTCACTGACTGAATGACTGACTAACTCCTGGCCGGCGCCTGCCATCTGTTCCTGGGCAGACCATTCGCTTTTTGCTTGGGCCAGCCTAAAATGTAATAATTTATTGCGCATACACCCTGTGGTACATGGAACTAGCTTCCAAATACATACTGCCCATCTGCATATCTGACTATCTGCTCTTCTGAATATCTCTATATGGCAATCAGATATAAGCAAAGATCTGCCGTAAATTTCTGCATGCGTTTGTGGGCGTCTACCAGTTATGCAATCGCTGAGAGCCTTTGTCTTCTTCGGCACATTGACATCTCTTCTACGCTGATTTGTGCAAGCCCAGAGAGTACATTTATTTGTATTTCTGCCGTTGTTTTCTGTATAATTTCTATTACCCAATAAGGCGCCTTGTGGTGTGTACGTGTTTTCGACAATAATTATTTTTCCGTTTCTTTCTTTCAAACATATATCTCGGCTTCTCCCACGATCTTGTGCAATAAATATTCATAATTTTGTTAACTAGCTAAACATTTGTCTCTCTGCTTCCCTCTGTCTTCCAGGCAACTCCAAATACAAAATGCGGTCTACGCAGCTCAGCTTGTTGTGCGGTAAGTCTATAAGTTCAAAAGGTTATTAATAAAAATCAAGAAAATCCAAAATTAGATTCAATCGGAAGACCAAAGTGATTAGGTTTATTCCAAAGAAAGGTTTTGAATGGGTATTGAGTGTATTGATTGGTATTCAGAACTATTTCTATAATCATGTTTTAGTATTGAATAAAATATCTACTTAAATATCACAAAAGCTTAACTCTCCAAAATAATAATGCCATTACTCAGCTTGAAATAATAACCATGTAAAACCACTTCTTATACGCATTTTTAGGCACAATTATATTTAAATATCTGAAGAGGAATTTCAAAGAAATATTATTGCAAATAAAAAGCATTCTTCGACTTGGCAACATCCTTGACCTTGTCAACTCATAATTTTCCCATCATAGATCACCGGCTAACGGTTGATGGCTGTGCGTGTGCCGCAAAGCGTGGGCGGCAAGCTGGCCAAGATTGCGTTAATGCGCCTTTGTCTTAGCCGGTTGCGTGAGCCGTCTTCGTTTTTGTTTTAAGTCCGACTTGGCGTGCGACAAAAAATATAAAAAAAAAATGAGGGGCCAAGACGTAGTACAGATTCGGATTCAGATTAAATATGACTTTGATTTGAATTAATGGATTGGCCAGAGCGGACGAATGCCTGGGAAATGCAATTTTTAACGGCTCATTAGGACGGGCGTGTTGGTGCTGGCCGAGACCCAGATGCCAAGTGGGCATAAGTGACAGCTCATCTCGCGAGCGAATAAAACCAACAATGGCCGGCAATCTTCTTTGGGCCTTTGGCTCTTTGGGGCTTTTGGTGCTGCTTTTGGTCTTTGAGTAATTACGCGCCCATCGACAGCACCTCTCAATTAAGTTGGCGTGGCATCCCGCTGTGAGGGGCACGAACTCAATCGAAAAGGCAAACGTAATGAAACGACAGATCGGAAAGATCCGAAATTGATGCGAGTACAACGTGGCGTATGGTTGATGAAGCGGCCGTTCGAATTTGAGCTCGCTTGCCAATCAGCGGGCACAAATTATGGGCAATTGTTTAATTTGAATAAGGCAGCAAACAGCATCGGCAATATAGCAACACCCGCGACCAAATCATCAGCGGGTCTTCTTCGATGATTCACTTAATCGCAGTGATTATGCTGCAAGTGGGCCTTGAATCTTGTGGCTATTTTGGTTATTTTGGTTATTCAATAACCCTCTGCGGCTGACATCTTCCTCTGCCGGCGGACACTTAAGACGCAGCTCATCATGACTTTTTTATTTCTGTTTCTTTCTTTAATTGTTTTTATGCCTTTAAAATTTAATTATTGCATTTCGAGGGGGCCTGAGGTCACTCACTTCCAGCCAGTCCCAGTAGTCACTGGTCGGGTCTTGCGTAATTTGGCAATGTCTGCCATCCAAGTTGAATGTGGAAAAGTCAAGGTCCGTGGGCTCACCGTCAAGAAGACATTCTAAACGGCAAAGGAGAATCCAAACCTGAAAAGTTGATGAACCAGACTTTGCTAGAGAATGCCCAAAAAAATGGCTAAGCAAATCTATTCACAAAGGAAATAATTGCGGTGTAGCACGAGAAGATCCATTAAAAGAATTCCTTTTAAATTTTTAACAAGCGTTGAAATTTTAGCTTAAATTTCTACACAAAATAATTAAGAATAGGTATAGTTTTAAAGATGTTTTTTCTTTAATGAATTTGGGAGTTTTTTATAAATGGTCTTTCAATAATAATACCCATGAAAAAATGATTACTACTTAATTATATACATTTAAGTTAAGTTAGTATATAAAGATATTAAAACAGTTAAATGCCAAAAACTATAATTTAGTTTTAATATTTCTAAACCATTCCATTAATCACTGCAGCTTTGCTCGTACTGGTGTTCCTTGACTACACAAGCGCAGAATCAAAGGTATGTTTAAGATTATTCTCAACTTAATATATATTTAATGTATCTTATATTATATTTATACTATATAGTATCGCACTCCTGCCCGGATATTGGCTAAGCAAACTGGTGCCACCCAATTTGAGGAGGAGCGCTATGAGGCGCATACTAACTGCAACGAACATAAACATCATCTGAAGAAGCGCGCTTCTGATGAAGATGTAGACTACGAGGTGTACCAGGGTGTAGTTGGCCGTCCAGGCATAGACTTTCCCATCTACCCAAGAATTCCCAAGACCTCGTTTAGCTGTCGTTCCTATGGCAATGGCTACTTTGCGGATATGGAAACGGATTGCCAGGTAAATTGATTTCTTAATTCAAATAAAATCAAATTAATACTATATAATTTTTCATAGGTCTTTCACATTTGCGAGGAGGGCCGTAAGATCTCCTTCCTCTGTCCTAATGGCACGATCTTCCAGCAGAGCGAGCTCACCTGCGACTGGTGGTTCAAGGTTAACTGTCTGGGCTCCTCGGGTTACTACGCAGAGAGTGCAGAGATCCTCAACAAGCAGCGCGTCCATCGTGTGCGTCCTTCTGTTCCCGTTCAAGGCTTCAATATTGTGGGTGGTGGGCTAAACATCAAGCCAAAGGTCACTCCAGTTGTTGGTCAGGCAAGGTCTGGTCCTCGAGCTAATCCCGACAGGCGTATTGATTCCACGGAGGACGTTCCCTCTTCAGTGGAGAGTGTGGACTTTGATGATGTGTCTGGCGAGAAGCAGCGAAAGGTTCTTCCCAGCATTGATAGCAATAGCAATGACCACGAGACCCAGATTACTGCGGAGAGCTCCTCGTTTGTCAGCGGTTCCGGCAAAAGAAGAACCAATAAGGATAGCAACCCGAATCGCAACGAGGACATTACAGTCTTGAAACCAGCTCGTATTAGGGCACCAGTGGCATCCCAAGAACGAGGAGTCTCCACCGAAAGAGCACGTAATGGCCAGAGGGGACAGCATCGCTATAGTGGAAGTGAGGAACACAGCAAGGAAAAGGAGAAGTCAGCTCCTAGCCAATCAAAGGAAAAGCCTGAGTTCTTCGAGGCTCATTCCACACGAACTGTACCTCAGACCACGCCCCATTACTCTACCGGAAGCCACTCCACTGTGCGACGTCTCGAACCAAGCAAGACCACGCCTTTCTACACGCCCACTGTACCCAGTCTGGTCAAGACCAAGACCACCGAGACAAAGCTCAATTACATCAAGGGCGGTCATGTGGCCACAACACCCAATCCCCATAGGTTCGGAGGTGCTAGTTCCGGTATTTTCCTTGAATCCTCTGTGGCACCGAAGGTTAAACCCACCGCCAGTGCCAGTATTGAACTAGACAGCACTTTCAAGCCAGTGATTATTGGTATGAGGCATCACTACGATGTGGCTAGCTCCGGAGAATTCCGACCCCCAGCAAAGTCAACAGAAAGTCGGGATTACTTGCCAACTACTCCGTCACCATCGGCAACCAGCAGCGGACCAACTTATTTACCCAAGAATGGAAAGTCTCCAAGGGGACACGCAGCAGGCGCAGCTGGAGAGGATGTTCTACTGTTCGCTCCCAATCCTGTCAAGGATGAGTCTGTCTTCCGCAACGTTCAGGAAATGCTCAAGACAATGAACCTGTTGAAGGATCAGTTTGAGGACGTGGAGCTGAATGCAGCTGCTGCAGCTCCAGCAAGAGTTGGTCTAGAGATTCCACCTTCCTCTGGTCCAGATGCCCTTGTATCCTTTGCCAAGTACTTTGCACAGGAACATAATGAAACCACAAATGCTCTTGCTAAGCCAGATAAGACGGAAAAATCTGACAAAACTGGAGGAAAACCAAAATTATCTGTAAAGCCGCCACCATTGCCCACCATTAAGCCATCGGACACTACTGCCCTTACTGACCACTTCGGAGAATCCTCCAGCCATAAGCGAAAATGCGGACGACATCAAGAAGAGCCTGCTAAGTGACACCACGGTGAAGAAGTACAGTAATCTGTTTGGCTTGAAGGCTGCCCAGGGTCGCGGTGCTGGAGAGGCTGATATCAGCACGGGATTACTCTCTAACCAGCCCAACGGAACTCAATCTGAATCAGGTTCCAAGTACCAGCAGTTCCCACAGATTGGTAGCACCGGTTCCACTATTGGTGCTTTGGCCGAGAAACCGGAGACTCGTAAGATTGCCCAAATCTTCTCCAATGCTCTGTCCAGTTACCTTGATAACCCAGCCACTTTCCGTGCCGAACTCGCTGCCCGAGCCCGCCCTACGGAGCCACCAAGTACTCCCAACTTCAAGCCCGTGACAACCACGGATCCCTCGCTCTTTAGTGATGGAACAGCCAAATACTATCTGCCCACCAAGGGACTGCCTATTGCCACTACGCCCACTCCCAATAGCATTGCAGCGGAAATTAACCACAAATTCGATTCGACCCCAGCTCCGGAATACTCCACAACCACTGAGCTGTATGAAGGTAGTACCAGTCGCGCCCAGGAACTGGAGTTCTCAGGGGAGCTATCGCCTCCAAGTCAGGATTCCGGCGAAGAGTTCCTCCAGCAACAGCAAACGCAATCGTTTGTAAAGTCTCGCAACGATCTGCTTAAGGATGCTAGGCCCCAGAAACTTGTGACCACCCACAAACCCACTGAGCACCCGTGGGCGCTTAAATCGCAGACCGACTTCCTGGATCCCCTGACCATCAACGATGGTCTGATGAAGGAGCAAAGGACTTCTACTACCAGCAGTACGACCTCGCCGTCCACAACACCTTCTCCGTTTGCCTACAGGGTGACCACACCCACACCATCTCGTTACGAGTGGGACGACATTTTCCGAAGCTACGATATTCCCAGAGACGCACTGCCATCCAGTAGTGGTCTTCAGCGGATTGCAAACAAATTGTTCGGCGGTCTCAATGAACAAGAGGCACTGCACCTACGCAACGTAATGGCAAAGGCGGAGCACGACCGTCAGGTGCTTAGTCTGTTGCTGCTGCTCATCCAGACCTGCGATGACCACAACGGAAAGGCACTTGAGAGGAGCAGGAAGCATCTGCTGAACGCACTCATCGATATTGACAGCAAGACAGTCGGAGGTAAGACCTCAAGGCAGAGACTGACCACCACTACCAACCGCATCCCAGTAACCACATTCCGACGTGGTGGTTCTGCCGGAGGCGAGTACTTCACCAGTACCACGCCGGGCTATACGACAACCACGGATCTGCCCACCACAACAGGATTGGGTGCGGGCAGCTACGAGGAGACCACTAAGTTTGAGATACGCGTCGAGGACCTTGAGGAAACCACGACGACGACAGCACCGCTGCTGGAGGTCAACTCGGACCGGAGGGCCCTGGAGCTGCTCAAGTCATTATATTCGCTGGCGTCCAAGTTCAGCAGCAGGCGATAGAGCGAGGGCGGTGGCGGTTCCTAGACCTTGCGAGTTAATGCCTAACTTTAGTCAACTCAACTCTACCCCCCCCTCAGATCAGTTTTATTTTCTTTAATTTAAACCCGTCCTAAACTTATGATTTTGATTCTGAACCAGTTACTTGTTAACCGACTTCGTTTAGCCAATGCAATTGCGCAATTAGTTTGTAAATATGTAATCGAAATACTCGACGATGAGAGGCCCTGAAATACTCCCGCGCCCGAAACAGGCATAGACTTGGTTGTTCCTGATGCCCAGCCAAGCAGTTTCCGTTTAAGTTTAATCGAGAGTTGTATTAAATTAGTTTCTTACTGCTTAGTCTTAACGAACGAGAACACTTTCCATCCAGTATCCAGTAACCAGTACCAATAGGAGCTATCTATTTGAACAATCTTTACGTCTTGCTGTCTGTTTGTAAATATTTATTTAAACTTAATAAAGTACATATAAAAATAAATCAAAAGATTAATTGAAAAAATGCTTTTGGACGGGGAACTAATGGAAGATGAACGACTAGACAGCTGATTAAATCATTTATATCAGCATTAGATGGGCTCTCAAATAAGTCAACCGGGCTAGTCCCCAGCGCCCATCAAAGACTCCGCGAAAGCCTTGACACAAATCCAATGACTTTTGCGTTTTCCAGCTCTAATATATAAATCTTATGTGAGGTCAAATCGGCCATGTAATCAGGCGAAATTTAAATATTTTTGTCATTGCTACTGAATGCATTTGCAAGAAAATCTAATTTGCCGCTCTCAAGGACAAAGTCGAATCAGATTAAAATTACATTGCACTTGAAATGGCCATAATATTGAATTGATTGTTCGTATACGTAACTTATATTACGTGTACGTCATGTAGGGTCTCGCTGATATATGAATTCTGATAACTGGCCGCAGACCCCAAACAATGGATAATCCAGGGTCGTAAATCTCCTAAAGCGCAAGCTCAAACAAACTGACGAACTGTCGTCGGTCTTCGGGGCAGCTGCCACATAAATATGGCAAAGATGCCGCATCCAAGTTGAGTTTACAAATTGGTATAAATTTCTAACAGCGTTCTAGGTTGGCTTGCAGTTGCTTCTCAAGTTTACGACAGTTAACAGGTCTTCAATCGAAAAGGATTACCAGGATAAATAACTAGGATAACGTTACCAATTGGGAATTTTCTCCGGCATGATGCAAGTGCCTATGCAACGCTGCGCGTGCTTCTTGACAGGTGAGTTGGCCAACATCACATCGGCTGACCCAGACCCAACCCACTGCGGCGCGTAACTCAACAGTGACGACCGATCGGCTGTCCGCCCCATCATCCTCATCACTATTAGTACTTCCTTTGGAGGGGCGTCTGTCTGTCTAAGTTTTTGCTGCCTTGCATATTTACGAGGCATGCGTCTTGCCTTTGGCCCAGCGGCTGCCGCAATTCTTGGCAGCCAATTGATGTTGCGGTGCGTTATTTCAGCAATTGGCACAGTGGTTTCTTAGATATTTAATGGGTCCAACAAGGTAGGAAGGGTACAAAAGTTGATTTTCGGAAACACAAAAAATATAATTCCAAAACTTTAAATATAAAGGAAAAATACGCTTAGTAAAGTTTTTAAACACCATTCTTAGAATTGTTTATTATAATTATATTAATAAAATGTGCTTTAAAGTGCTAAATTCAAATAAATTTCGGATTAAAACAAAATTAAATATTTAATAATCAGATCGCCTTATATCAGACTTGCAACCACTGTGCACCTAGGGTAGGAGTAGGAAGCTGATAAATAAAGATCGCAGTGCAGAACCGTCTAAGTCGCGCTATCAGCGCCCAGAATCGCGGCGTACTTGGCCTTAATATGGACTGCGAAACTCTTTGCTGCCATCGCCATCGATGGCTGCCAGGGCGGCGTTCATTTCCATTTGGTGCGTCGGCGGTTCCACAGCTCGGAGAAGATCTTCGCCAGATTCCACAAACGATTAGAAAGCGTTAATGTTGGCCCGTCTATTTATTCCAGTTCTGGTGCTGCTCTGGAGCGGCGGCTTGGCACAGTTGCAGGTCCAGGTGAGCTCCAAGGATACTCCCGAAGTTATCCGTTCAGATATTTTAATAACAATCCTTGACAGGCCCAGAGTGGGTATAACTATGGTCGCCCCGAAGTGGCAAATGTTGGAGGTGCCACCGCTGGAGGTCGCCTGACTCCTGGTCCATATCCCACTGCTGCTGCCATTCCGCTGACCCCAGCTCCAGCCACCACTGCTTATGGCGCGGGTTTATTTCCTTCTCCCGCCGTTGGATTCACGCCCAGTGGACAGGCTACAACCGCTTTTGGGGCTCCTGCTGTTGTGGGAGCCAGTAACGCCGTTAGCCAGTCGCGAAGACCTTCATCTGGGGCATTACCCACTCCATCATCTCGCAGTGGACCGTATGGACCGCAAACTTCACAGTACGGCAATAATCCCAGTGGCTCTCCAATCCGAGTTCCCAGTGGAACTGGAGACAACGGGGACTACAACGAAGGCGACGGCGATTACTCGGCAATTCCGGGTGTGCCTGGAGTGGATTACCCCATTTACGCCCAAGTGCCACGAACCAACTTCGACTGCTCGCAACAGCCCCTGCCGGGATACTATGCCGACATCGAGGCCCAGTGTCAGGTGTTTCATATCTGTGCCCTCAATCGGACCTACTCATTCCTCTGTCCAAATGGCACAGTATTCAGCCAGGAGACGCTGGTCTGCGTGTGGTGGAATCAATACGATTGTGTCTCGGCTCCCAGCTTATATGCTAATAATGCTTATATCTACGATTATTCTGGAGCAAGTGGCTCTAATCTGGGAACGTCCAATGCTAATAATGCATATCGTCCGGCTGCTGCTAGCACAACTGCTTTCGGGGCACCAGTTGCCACAACCGGAACGCTTCGGGCTACCGGAGTACCCCAGGTGGCTGGATATAATTCCGGACGAGGGTCCTATCCTTCGGCCACGCCCACACCAGCTGCCCAGGCTCAGAGTCCGTACGGTTCAGGAGCCGTGCTTCGAACCGCCATCGTCCCAAGTGCCGGAGTCAATCGATTACCGCCCAGCGGAGCTGCTGTCGGTCTCCTGGCCACCGCCGCTGGAGCTCTTCCCGATAACTCGGTGGCTGGCTTCGGCCAACAGCCGCAGTCTCAGTTGGTAGCAAGCGGCAATCGGGAGTATCTGCCACCAGCCGGTGTTGGACAGCAACAACGGCAGCGCGGAGGCACCACTCCATAAGTATCAGAACACTGGTGAACCCCTGGCACTCGTACCCGGTTAAATGGCATTAGACTTAGCGACCCTAGACATAGCATCTTTTTAGAATGTTAGGAGCTCCAAACATAGAAATTAGTAGTTAGTTTTTAAAAATATTCATTCAAATACACTAAAAAGAAACTCTAAGCAAACAAAATTGTCCTTTAAACATATTCTAAGAATCGAAGCCTTTCGAGGAATACAAATTGTATCTGTATCTGATGGGAAAATAAATTCTACCATAAGGTAGTAATATTTAGAAAGTTTATATTTGAAAGTTATTTTTTATAAAAAATATATAACATTTTTGTAATTGCTACCAACCTAAAGCAGAATGAAAATTTCTATTAAAGATTTATCTCCAATATGTCCTTTATTGAAGTGCACTAAAGAAATCAATATTTAATGTACGCTTATCCTTGGATTTTGAAAGTTTTGACTCTCGAAGTAGTTTTCCGTACTCATCTTTGAAGTCCGAACGGATATACAAAAGTTTGCCCTTTTTCAGTTTCGGTTGACCAGCCTTTGGGAGTGGTGGTATCGTCGGATTAAAAGCCATCTGTGTGCTGTCGTATTGCGTGAATAGCTCGTGGGAGGTGCTAAAAGAAAACATGAATTAGATTCACATATGACGCGGTCATATGACCACTTACAGTTTGCCGATTTCCGTAGGCAACGCTCCTTCGCCCGAAGCTGGCACTCCGTGGGCAATGTGAGTAGCCATGCGTCGCACTGTGGGATGATAGTGCCGTGCCAAAAGGGAGAGCTCATACAACGACGTGCTGGCTGCATTACAGTATTCGGGGTCGTCCAATTCAGGATCATAACGGCCTGAACCTATAGTAGTATCCGTATCCAGTAGATTGTCGAGCACAGAAGTGAGCTGGAAGGTCTGTTTTATGGTTCCAAGCGTGGCCAGGGTGCCGTTATGGAGCAAATGCAGGCTACCCGTAAGCAACCGCTTTACGAAGGCCATTAGACGCTGTTGGCTCATATTTCGACGACGTTTCACCAGCACTTCATCAAGAGTACGCAGAATGATGGTAAAATCATCGTGATTTTTTCCCGCCTGTACGGCCAGCATATTTTTGTAAAAGTGCTGATAGAATCTGATTGGATCGATGTTGAGCACTTCACCCTGGCCAGAAAGAATAACAAATATAGTTTGGACGCAGTGCAAACGCTCTCGGTAGCCCAGCTCTTCTTGATCTTCCAAAATGCGGTTCAGCACATCAATCAGGTCGGAGAAAAACTCCAGATTAATGACATGCGCAAATCTAAAATTTAAACAATTACAATTTAGAAGAATAAGGTGTACAAATAAAGCTTACTCTGCCAAACCCTCTAGAATGGCGCTCAATACGCGCGATGTTGGATCGTTCTTTAGCACGCGAAAATATATGGTAAACACCATTTTGATGATCTCGGTGAGCTTCTGGTGCTTGGCCTGCTTGTTTTCCTCGGCACGGGTCTCCTCCAGTTCCCTGTTAACCTCTGTTAGCTTCTTCCGCCTCTTCCTTTCTTTTTTAGACAAACTTAGCAATCGCTGACGATGAGACTCCAGCTTCTTTTGCTTCAGCTCATTTTCTTTCTCTGCGTCTAGGTTCACGCCCTTAATATTTAGACCCATCAAACAGGTAATGCACTCGACATGAACATTATTCTGCTTCGTTTTAATCAGATGATTAATGCGTCGCACTATGAAAAGTGTCATTTCCAATCGCTTGTCGTTGGTGAATACTGTTCGGAAGCACTGATTAACCGCCGTTCGCATCTCCAAATAATTACAGTTTAGCATATAGACCAGCAACTGGGCAATGTTTTGCACGTAGTTGAAGTAGGGATGTGCAACCAGCAAATCACACATGCACTGCACGGCCACCGTAGCGAGCTTTACGGTCTGGGGCGTCCTAAGTCCTCCTCTCCTGTTTACCTGCGCCGTGATCTGTTCCAGCTTCTGCAGGAATTTCTTGAACTGCTGAAGCAGTGCGTTTTCATAGGTAACTCGATCCAGGGTGGCCTTGCGCAGCGTCTGCATCTTGGTGTCTACCTGACCCACACGATACTCCGGTAAGATATCTTTGAAAATTTCCGTTACAGAGATTATGGCCAGTTTTCTCACAGCCATAAGATTGGCCTGCCGACTTGCTGGATTGATTTCATCCATGAGTTCGTACAGTGCGTAAAAGTTGCGCATCTTGTCCTCTGGTTTTTCGAGCAGTCCGGAGCAAATAATTCCAATGCGATACTTTTGGCGCTCGATCTCTTGCTGGCGGGCAATCAGCAGATCCGTGGTTGATATGAGTTTTTGGACGGGAACAGCTGACGCTGCCTCGACATCGTTGACAACGTCGTCGTCGCTGTCTTCATACTCCGTTTCCCCATCTTCCTCGTCTTCTTCGGAATCTTCCTCCTGCTCCTCATCCTTCTTCTTTTTCTGCTTGGGCTTCGGCAGGTAATCAACCTCTGTGGTGCGTGTGATGATCTGACCATCTCTGGACTTGATGGGCAGTAGATCCAGCTTGATTTTCTTTGCCTCCTGTTCCTTTTTGGTGTCCGAAGCGTATGCCTTTTCCAAGCCAATGGATTGCCCCTGGTTAGGGTCCTCCTCACCGGACGCTTTGGCCTTGCGCTTGCGTTTGTTGGCCTGTAGTAGGGCAAGATCATCGCCATCCAGCATGTCTGCAACGTTATCGAGCATATCATCATCGCCATCCTCGTTGTCGTCTTCTAGTGGATCAAGTCCCAGGGAGGCCAGTTTATTGTGCTTCTTGCGCTGCGCCAAATTGTCGCGCTTCCTCGCCTTTTGGGAGAATATATTCTGGCCCTGTTCCCGCTTGGAGATCAGTTGATCGCGTTTCTGCTTCTGCTTTTGTTGTTGCTGCTTTGAGAGCGGTGTTTTCTTCGATCTCAAGTGAGCGGACCGCTTCACTGAGCTGATTTTCACCTTTTTCTAAAGTTAAGTGGATTAATTTATGTTTGACACAGTTATTTTGATTACTTACCGCTCCCATTGCTCTTGTTTTAACTTATTTTTTTATGTTTTAAAAATGTTGACTTCTGAATCTGCCGAGCACATGGGAAACTAAAAGAACTGTCCACTTGCCTTTGCAGAGAAACAGCTGGAAAAGTGCTGCCAGCTTTGTTTTTACTTACCAGTATTTTTCCGGTATTTAATAAATACTGCAGATATAGAAAAAAGTAAAATAAAATAAAATTTCAGAAATTAATTTGTCCGTAAAACAAATAACTAAGTTCAAATTAAATTTAATTTTAAAACAATTAAATTAAAAAAGCATAAAAAGGCCTTTATATATACATACTTAAATATGTAATGAGATGATAAACAAGACGATATTTAGAGTAAGAAGATATGTCTATTTTTGCCACATGCACAACGGTCAAACTAAAAATCGCTGTTGGAAAAAGTAAATAAACAAATGTCTGATGAAGAGGAGCATTATATGTCGGACAAGTTCCTGTCTGGGTGAGATTGCACAGAAAAATTAAGGCGTCTTTCCTATGTAACAAAGATCCTTGCTGTTCAAATTAGCCTGCAGGATGTGCGTCCCAGCTTGGTCCATAATCGCGGCAAGAAGCGACAGATTGAAATGGAAAGCAAAAAAGAGGAGCTGAAAAAGCGGCAACGGGAAGCGACCGCTTCTTTTGGAAATATGGACAATGTTCGCCTACAACAGTCGCTCAATAAACCGATATCTTCCGACAACAAGGGTTTTCAGCTGCTGGCCAAAATGGGCTATAAAGCTGGTTCTGGATTGGGAAAACAACAAGATGCCCGGACGGAACCTGTTGGTATTACTATCAAGAATGACCGAGGGGGCCTAGGACGAGAGGCAGCCGTGGCCGAGTTAACCCTTAAGCGGCAGGAACTGCGAAGGGCCCATCTCCTTAGCAAAGCCGGCATCGAATCCCACGAGGAAATCACCACCGAAGCTTATAGGAGGCGTGCCACACACAAGGCTGAAGAGCGCAAGCTACAGTTTGACATTAAAAGGTGTCAGCAGACCTGCGAGTCATTAGACCTTAAATCTGGTATCAGTGAACCCGATATGGAGTTCTTTTGGCCACCTAAACCCAAAGAGGATGATGAAATAGAAAGCGAAGATGAACCTGAAGTCGAGGAGCCACAAAAGGAGGAATCGTACACTCCATCGGAGCAACTAGAACTCCTCACTGGCTATCTGCGCACCGCCTATTCATTCTGTTACTGGTGTGGAACACATTACGAGGACGCTGAAGATCTGGCCACCAACTGCCCAGGACTCACACGCGACGATCACTAGCTCCAGTAAAAAAGGCATAAACTAGATTAATTACACATAATTTCACAAAATCTCTGCAGGTTAAAATTTGTTTTACAATAATACGTAGTCAAAAAACAGCTAGCGGTGTATCTGGTTCGGTGAAATGCGTATAAACGAGTTGGAATCCAGTGAGTCGGAGCTACAAGCGACCCTCTAGTTTCTGTATCAGATCGTGGGTCCTTTCAATGACACTAAAAATGAATGGTCGCTCCATTGGGTCGGTTCTAAGCATGTAGTTGATCAATTCGTGCATGTCCTGGAAGAGTATTTATTATTAAATTGCATTTAGATATATAGATTTCTTTTACCTCTGTGTAGATGGAATCCTCTGGAATGTTTAAGTTACCGCTGAGCACAGCTAAAGCTACGCTGTCGCCTCGCTCGTAGATGGGATCGTAGGGTGAGTTGAAGTAGCACATTGCATATAGCACACAACCAAGACTCTTAAAAAGGAAAAACAGCATTGCAAAACAATAAGACTAAAGTATGTGAAATTTTGTGTTACCCATATATCCGTCCGCTCGTCAATAGTGCAGTACGTTTTGACCGTAAATAGTTCCGGAGCCCGATAGACAATGGAGCTCCTTTCCTCGGCTTCGTCTTGCAATCGCTGAGCATCTGTCTGGCCTACAATCTGCAGCCGGGCTTCCGTCATGGAGCCGAGGTCCACAATTATGGGCTCAAACGAGTCCGATAAACAGATATTAGCTGTTTTTAGATCACGGTGAGCCAAAGGAACCGGTTTCGCCTCATGGATGGCCTTCAGTCCCTCGCAGACGCCCAGGAAGATCTGCAGAATCTGAGCCTCAGGCATGTGATCCTGTTTCCGTGATCGAAGCTGCAGGTGGTCAGCCAAAGAGCCGTGCTTGTAATAGGGCAGCACAATGTACAAGGTGCTCGTTGTATTAATGACGATATCCGCTTGGCCCTTTAGCTCGTAGTCCACTACCCTGATGACGTTTTCCGAGTTGATTTTTCGACAGTTTTCGATTTCCCGCAGCGCTATATTCTGGTCATCGATGCTGTGGCAGGTGATGCGCTTTATCGCGTAGCTACGTCTCGTGGAGGCGTTTTCCCCAAGGTCGATCAGACTGAAGCCCCTGCACAGAGACCAACAGATTAGATATTCCCGATGAGATAGTGGTGTCTTTGTTGTACAAACCCTGTCGCCAGCCTGTCGCGAATTGTGTACCGGGATCCGTTGATATTCAGAGTCTCCTTCCGGCAAAAGCAGCCGCGTTTCATTATCAGTGTCCAGCCTATACTCTGCATTTTGCTTAAATTATTCTACGGACTTTAAATCTTTAAGCCTAAAAACTAGTTTAATTCATGTACAAAATCTAAATAGAAAACTGAAAGCTGTAGTGCAATGTTTATGCGACAAAGATATTAAGATGTTCCGTGTTTGCAAATTAGCTGCGGAATGTCAATGCATTACCAAAGTTTAATTTTACGAATAATAAAATTATTTTACTCTCTTTTCTAGGATTTCTTTACATTTTTAATTGGAATACAAACTAACTATTCAAAGATTATATATTTTATTCAAAAATAAATCAATTCGCAAATGAGCCACCGTACAAACACAGATGTTCCTGCGCGCCAAACAGCTGAGCAAGAGACAGGTACGTTATGCCAGCCATGTGGCTTTTGGCGTTGCCACCTAGCTACAAATGGTTATTGTATTGCGAATTTCTTCATAGGAAGAAGAGATATTTGCATTTATTTATTATAATCAATTACAAAGATGGAGGAAGAAGCCTGGTTGGATCTCGTGGGCATAAGCGCCGATCCGCCGAACAGACGCGACAAGTGCGAGAAGTGCAAGTGAGTGGTAAAACAGGAAATCGCCCACTAAAATCTCAGGTCTTATTAAAAAATCTTTCACAGACGGCCAGTGGTTGTTTGCTGGTGTCCAGCTTTGCCGCATCCACCAGAGGCGGTGTCCTCGCAGATTGTGATCCTGCAACATCCCGCCGAAGAGAAACGATCGCTGCGCACAGCACTTATGCTTCAGTTGGGCCTAGAACCGGGAAAATGTGTGGTGTACAAAGGCAAGCGTTTCCCCAACAAAAACCACGGTGAACTGCAGGGCATTCTGGACTCCCCACAGACGCTACTCTTGTATCCCGAGCAGAGACTCAGTGCCGCTGGAGGAGGTGGACCACAGCGCGGGTCCCTACACTCTGGTGCTTATAGATGGCACCTGGCCGCAAGCCAAGGCAATCTACGCCAGCAGCCCAGCTCTGCACCGTCTGCGACAGGTTAAACTAATCGCCGTAGGCATCAGCGACTACATTATCCGAACTCAGCCCACCGAGGGCTGCCTCAGCACCTTAGAAACTGCTGCCCAGTGCCTGGCCGTGCTCGAAGCCCGACCAGAGCTGCGGAACACGCTAGTGCGACCTCTGCACACACTTTGCAAGTTCCAACTAGAAAACGGAGCCGTGGAGCACCAGTCCAAGGAATTCCTGCTAAAAAACAATCAATATCCAAAACCCATTGGCAAACGGTTGAGCCGCTTGCTTCGAAACACCACATGCGATGGCAATGAGGATACGTGATAATAGGATAAGGAGGACGAAAACACCGGAAAAGTTGCTTGTGCGTGTGGTTTATAGCCAAATAGGTGTTCTTCGTAGTAATATTTTGTTTTGTAATAGTAATATTATAATTTCCTATTAATTAGTCCTAATATGGATTTTGCTGATATTCAAACGGTGGGCTTGTTCCTTGCATCTGTCAGAGCTCTGATAAAGACGCACTTGACAATGGCATAGCCACGCATGCATGCATTCGTCTCATCCTCTGGGGATAACAAATGAAGGATTTCTTATGTACTTCAACATGTCCTGTTTAAAACACTTACTGCCTTCGGTCTCGCAAGCTTCGATGGAATCGCCGGTAGCTGGCCAAACATATTTGCGAATCAAATCCGTATTTAGCTTATAGTCCGTCATTAAGCCAGACTTTTCGAAAAAACAGTTGAAATAACACTGCAAGGAATCTGTGAGATTCAGGAAGTTAAGGATCTATAAACCCCACCTACCATGCTGGTTACTTTGTCCTTGTCCTCTGGCAAATCACCTGTGCTATTAAACTGCAATACATTGGCTGAAAGAGATGATCCACAAAGTATAAAATTAAGTTTTGTAATGCTTAATATTATTCCCTAAAAACTCACAGGTAGTCGTTATAAAACTAGAATTGCAGTTCCGATTAACCTCTTCAAAATCTACATAGTCAGCTTCTCTTGGAGCTGGAGTGGTCGTAGATATGTCATCGACATCACCATCAAAGCTATCATAGTTTATAATGAAAATATCGCCATTATCCTTGGCTTGATCCTGCAATGCCTTGGCAAAGATCGGGCTCATAAGCGCAAAGATAACACAAGTTTTAGCCAACACGGAAAACATTTTGATCTAACGGAATGATTAAAGGGCCTTACTTGCTCCCCTTTTATATTAAAACTTTGGTGATATTCTCCCATATTATATGGCACTGATCGTGCCATGCACAGTTAGAATAATTTGATGTAATATATCCGGAAATTGAGTACCAATAAATTGGGCTTTGAATAAACTTTACACAAAAGTAACTAATGAACTCAGTGATTGATCAATTAACTATAATTCTTTGGCAAATAGTTGTAGTATATATGGAGTTATATGTAGATGATATGATATTACAGTCAGCTCACCATATGGAATCATATTTTCCCCCGCACAGGCAACACGAGCCGTGTAGAACATGGAATGCATTTGCATCTGCACTTCCGGATCATCGGGAACGATATCCTGAGCAGCCACCCAAAGCACAGTCAGAAATCCGATTAGATATAAAGAACGTAACATTTTCGAGAAACTGTATGGCAAATGGTCATTGTATCCTCTATATATACTAATTTTTGATGATCGAGCGCTAAATGTTGTCAAATTCACGAGATCGTTTGATAGTTAAACTAAATTGTTGCACTTTAATCGAACAATAAATACATGCAATATACGCGTATACAGAAATATAGGACAACATTCATCCAATAAATTGCTAAATGAACGTTAATCGAAATTTACATTGTCAATGGGTCACAAGAGTTATATAGTTAAAATATAGTTGTTTAGAACGGACACGCAAAATTGACATCAATTACGTGGTATAAGTGTATTTTTTAATTGGCCAACTTAATGGTCAATATTACAAAGCGAACGTTAAACAAAATCTATATAGCCGAACTTCTCTAACTCGAAGTGTATTAACAATTTTGAAGCTTTCAATAAAATAGATAAAATGAAAAGTTTTAATTAAATTTAAAACGTAAAAAAATATCAAACCGAACATAAATTTTATTATTTTTTATTGGCTTTTAATTGATTTTGATGTAGTTAAAAGTTAAGTTAAAGAAGTTCGACTGCATATTCAGTGGGTCACAGTAGTTAACTTATAGAGAACATTAATGGAGCTCGCGCAACGCGGTGTGCCTAGAGTGAGAAACCTTCGGATGGGATTGGATCGGATTAAATTAGATTATACCAAGATAGTACATAGAATGGATTAGTTTTCGATTTAAGAGGCCTTAAGTGTAATTTCGCTTAAAATTTTAATCGCAGTAATTTTTGCTTGGATTCTGATTAAATTACTCTATGCAACGTCCACGTCGCATCCACGCGTCAGACCTTGGCGCCCCAGGCCCTCTTCAGCAGGTAGGCGCCCTTTTCGGCGATCATCACGGCAGGAGCGTGGGTATTACCAGAGGTGACCTGCGGCATTATACTGGTGTCCATGACGCGGAGTCCACGAATGCCATGGACCCTTAATTCGTGGTTGACGACGGCCATTGGATCGCTGCTGGGACCCATTTTGCAGGAGCCCGCCTGGTGATTTTCCGGACCCGTGTTCTGCCTAATAGCGCACTCCCAGTAGGCATCACTGCCAAAGGTGAGCTTCTCGCATCCTTTGACCACCGTCTTGTCCATTCGCATGCCATACTGTCTCATCGGCGATGTCTGGGATATGCGAATAGCGAACTTGACACCCTCCACTAAGGTCTTCACATCCCGTTCGTCGGTCAAGTAATTGGCCACAATACGCGGCGCCTCTAGAGGATCTGCGGAGCGTAGTCCAATGAATCCTCGAGATCGGGGATTCAAAACAGCCGGGAAGATCTGTATGGCCCGGGAGTTATTGGAGAGCAATTCGCCAACCTGTCCTGTACGAGCACAATTGGCCAGATATCCACCAAAGTAAATCTGGAGATCTGGAAGATCCGGACTATCGGCCCATCGTGTGGCTATTTTTCCTGTCACATCCGAGACGCCAGTGCCAGACATGAGACCATCTCGGAACAACAAGTACTCCATAGCTGTAGCCCAGTTCAATGGTGATGTATCCGCATCGTCAATGAAGAAGCTCGTAAAGAAGGCCACATGGTTGTGGAGGTTTTTGCCGACACCTGGAAGATGGTGCACGGTTCTCACATTCACCTGCGCCAGTTCATCCTTGGGACCCACACCACTCAACAGTAGGAGTTGAGGAGAGTTGACGGCTCCACCACTTACGACTACTTCCTTCTTCACCAGGATTTTTCGCGTGCTGCCAAATTGGTCGCTAACTTCCACACCCAAGACATTCTTGGTGTGGGGATGGATGAGGATCTTGGTTGCCGTGGTGTTCAGCAGAATATGCAGGTTGTTACGCATGCGAGCCGGTCGCAGGAAAGCCCTAGCTGAGCTATACCTGATGCCATTACGGGCAGTCATCTGAGCAATCATGAAACCGGTGGAGTTCTTTCCATTGAGATCGTGCACAGAGAAACCCATTTCCTCGGCGGCCTTGAGAATGGCATAAGATAGAGGTGGATTGTACGGGAACTTGCCCACTGGCAACAGACCTCCCTTGGCATGATATTCCGTGCCGACTTCATCTAGGTTCAGGTTATCCTCTGACTTCTTAAAGAACGGCAGGACGTCGTCGTAGGACCATCCAGGATTTCCCTGGGCTGCCCAGTTGTCGTAGTCCTCGCGATTGCCGCGAACATACATCATGCCGTTCAGTACCGAGGTTCCACCTAGGACCTTGCCACGTGGCCAATAGCAGCGCTGCTCCATCGAGGACAGACAGGCCATTCGCTCCGGTTCCGTGGAGTATCGATAGTCGATGTCGCTGCCAATAAAGTTGAGGAACATGGAGGGAATCTGGGCACCTACAGGTTCATCGCCACCTAAAAAAAAAGCGAGACAAAGGAAGCATATTTTAGTTATATTTTAAACCTTTTAATATTTAATTTAATTTATACTATGGTATGCTGATCTCTAACTAAAAATCTTAATTAAAAACTGAACTCCATGGGTTATGATTAGTTATCATAAAAACTTATTCATTAGATTTCGTTTCATAATAATAATTCAGATATTTTTTATAACTTTATATAATTATTACCCAGTCGGAAGCTTTAAAATTTGCAAATCTTAAATGCTAAATTCCTACCGGGTTTGGTAATAGATATGCACCTTTGCAACCCCCACAAACCGAAAGATACTTCGAATAACTGGTCGTGAGTCTTGATTAATAGACCCTAACTGCCCATTAAGAAGCAGTACAAACAAACTTCGATTCAACCTTCAGCTCTTGGGTGGGCAGAAACCCATTTGGGTTTTGGGACATTTGAGGCACGCTTTTGCTTAACCCATGGCAATCCATTATAATTAGTATATTGGCTCAATCAGCGTTCTAGAATTTCCGCTGAGCCCACGACTCCAGCTTAATTAAATCGATTGAAATGGAATCTTTGATTGCTAACCATAGCGTGGGAGCGAAAGAAAAAAGCATTTACCGCAAAATCCTGAAGTAATAATTTAACTTGGAATTTTAACAAAAGGAAAATTAAACAAAATAGCCAAAATTAAGAAAGAGCCACAAATACTGGCTGTGATTCATTGAGTACAAGCGTTATATATGTTCCCGAAATTCTTCTTAATAACTTGTTCTGCGGCAACACTTAACATATGTCGGTGTCGGGCAAATAAAAACAAATGCGTTTCTTGGTGTTTACGCTACGGGATTAAAGAAAACAATTAACACCGGGAATACGCATTCTAATTAGCTTCGAATAAAGGCAAAAGCAAATAAACAGGCTGCAGTCTGAACGAACTCGAACATCTTCTCATAAATACTAACCTCATAACTCTGCCAAGAGCTTGAATGCTAAAAGTATTCGTATATTTCAAATTTGAAAACTAAATTATATTTTCAAGAATGTGTTTAGGTAATGTGATTAAATTTATATTAATTTAAGAAATACATTTTGAAACCAATGTCTTTTAAGTTAATTTACAGCTTGAAATTTACTTAAATTATTATTTCACCAAATGTGACCAATGATTTGCAGCATCATTAAGTAAATAATTTGTATATAGTTTTAAGTAACCGGGTTGAATCTCCGATTTAAAACACGTGCTTGGCGAAATGTTAAGCCATTACCCTGCGGCGAGGTCATTCCAGAGGTCAGTGTGCCAGGCACCGGGCTGACTTCTTCAATCAAAGAAACCTTTTAAACTTTTTTCCGGCATGCTTTTGGCATTGACTTGAATCTGACAAGTTGCATGTCTAATGTCAGGCCAGTTAGAATTAAGCTTAGCCAACGAAACAAAAGCCACTTTAGCTAGTAGCTATCGCTGTTCATATTCTGATATAGTCGTATAATAAGCCAGGTTATAATGGCCACGGCTAATTGCACTTCGGGCCCAAGCATCAGGCATTGTTGTATAATTAACGCCGACGCATTGACGACAACTTCGAATGTGTTTCCCTTTCGCGTTTTTCGGCCCGTAATTAGTGTAATTAGTGACGAGGCGTAAAAAGTGTCGCTATAAACAATTACTTTGCGCAAAAAAAATGGGAAAACTTAGGGAAAACACACAAAGTAAGCCAAGCCGATCCGAGAATGCTGATGGGGCAGTTTTAATGAAGCCATTAGAACGCTTTCCCACGCCTGAAGATAGCTTAAGTGATTTTCCAGGCACTTTGCTGACTTATTAAGACATTAGCGATGGAGTTATGATTAATGACGGTTTTTAGGTCAAGAAAAAAATGGGAGATACTACTTAACATGCGGCTTATATTGGTCTTAAGAATAAATAAAATAATTTTTTTTTTTAAAAAAAAACAGCTGATGCAAAATTTGAAATAAGTAATTATAACTATAAGACACAGTTATCTTAAGTTATTTATTTCACTTGGCAATTTAAATATATTTGGTATGTGAACTCAGAGTTCCTAACTGATACTTGGCATTATATAAACTCATAAGAAAGTGAATGAACTGCGATGAATATTGACACAGATAAGCAGAATGAAGTCCCATTGTGCCAGATATTTTATTTTATATACTTTATATTGATCAATTTAAATATATTTAGTATGTGAACTCAGGTCTAATTCATATTTGCAATTACTTTAACTGGGCCGTAAACTTACAAGTTAACTCATAACTCGTGCCACACAGCGTATGTACGATAAAATAAAAATTATGCAGTGCTAAAAAGCCTCTTAAGCTGAGTTTGCCGCATGTTTGCGTTTAATTAAGGCAAAGTGAATGCACTGCATTGAATATCGACACCGATAAGTAGAATTCAATACCACCACACACACACACTCACAGAGATTCGCGATGATTCGTTATTCATTCATAAAATGGCCTGTGAGGAACAACAACAATTATTGAATGCAAAAAAACCAAGTCAAGCGAAACGAAATGGAACACCTTTTCAGCTCGAAGCGAAGCTAAATCCTCTGTAGAGAGAAGATATTTGCATGGCATGAGATTGCCTTCGGGCTGAGGTGGCAGCTCGTTTAGTTTACATAATGCTCGTGGCAGTTGTGGTTGCTTCTTTGCCGCAAAACTCTTGCCCAAGTGGCACGTTAGTGTTGCTGCCATTGTTGCAGTTGTTGCTGCTGTTAAGCTTCAATTACTTCTAAACAAATGCCACATAACGCGCCTTTAATTGCCCGTGAGCAACGTGATTTTATGTTGCTAGAAATGTATACATGTTGCTGGGGCAACTTCCCTTACCGGCTTCGATCAATAACACCTTCCATTGGGGCACCTCGGAGAGTCGAGAGGCCACCACAGAGCCCGCTGAGCCACCGCCAATGACAATGAAATCGTACTCATAGTCCGGCTCCGATCGAAACTGTAATAATATATAATAATATAGTTTTGAGCTTTGGTTAGCCACTTTTTGGGGCCATTAACTTACCCGTGAACTGGCCCGACCACAGGGATCCTCAAGATCACACTGAGAGCGGATAAATACCTCCAGGAGGCCCATGAAAAGCATGAAGGCACTGCCACCACATGTCGAGGCGAGGGTGGGTCCAGTGGGCACGCTCACCAAGCAATCGCAGGCAGAGTGGCTGGCGGACATGGTGATGGACTGCAATAAGAGGGATTAGTTTAAGAAGTTAGTAAAAAATTATTTTTTTGATGAACCATAAAAAAATATAACTACCAATAAACTTAACTTAACTTAAACTACAACATAAAAATATATTGGATAATAATTACACTTATTTGTTGGTAGCTTAAACATCTATTAAGTCAATAATATCCATTAAGTCAATCTACGTTTGTGTTCTAAGTCTTTTGTTTTCCTTACAACTTAACCCCCGTTTTTAGTCAGCAAACTATGAACTATCGATAAATGAGTTGGCTTACAAAAAGCTCTTTAATATATTTAATAATTTAATCTGAAAATAATTTTTCAATCTGTATATAATGGCTTAAATTGTTTATTTGCTTGTTTAATTTTTTAATTTCCAGTTGATTAAACGCCAAGCCATGGGGCAAAGTCATAAAATTTTGAAAACCACAACTTGAACTTCTGTTTAACCTTGCCGACTAAGACAAAGACTAAAAGTTATCAAAGTAATGCTCCAGCAGCAGTACTGTAATTAATAAGAGTACCCACCGAAACAATGGGCGTCGTCGTCTGTCCCAATGCACACCAAAAAGCGGCAAAGTAACAGAAAAAAAGTAAAACACAAAAGACCAAATGAAATTGAAATCAAAAAATACACTTTTTATATCTTGGCCATTTGGCAAACAAATGGAAACTGCCGCCAGCATTGGCAATTACCGAAAGGCCAAAACCAGACAGCCAGACGGACAGAAGTCATAGCTCATCATCCGAGCTTGGCTTTTGTTAAGTTGGCTGATACTTTGGCTGCTTCTGCTGCATAGTTTCACATGACCTTAGCCCCGAGCCCGGCCAAAAATGTCTGGTTGGCCACTCTTTTCTTTCCTATTTGAAATTTCGAAATTGCCGCTTGCTCTGTGCCTAAAACAGAAGCAATGAGCCTGCCTGGGATTACGGTAGCCAACGACGGTTGAGTAATGTGCAATATAATTATGTCATTTGTTCGTCTCGTTGGTGGTCGATTGCTCGATTATTGACCGCCGGCTGAACGGATTGACTCCAAAGCCAATCTGAATGTAGTGAAACGTGATCCGTTCTTAGCTCCTTTTATGTGTTGCAAATATCTTAACTGTTTGCCTCCAACACTGGTCTTCACACTCCCTTTTTGGGTGATTAATTAGCGTCCAAAAAAGAAATTAGCAACCGAATTCAAACCGATCCCTGAAATCAGTGCATTTTTGGAAGATGCTGACAACGCTTTTGACCTCAATTAACTCGAACAGCTTGAAGCAATCAAATTGCAATTTGTATCCATCCAAAAACAGAAAACCAAAAAAGCGAAAAAACAAAAAGAGAATCACCTAAGCGGAGATCGAGAAGATCATGCAATTGCTACAGTTCGTCTGTTTTTGGGTGCCACAATGGAGTTCGCATCTGACATTTGGAACACGATTTTTCATTCATTTCAATTGCATTTTGGTGTCTTTCGCTTTTAAAGTTGAAGGATGCCACGAAAGTGAATCGGAGCTGTGGCACAGCCGAAGCAGAAATAAAAACAAAAACATTCGGAGAACATACGCAACTCACGCGAGCGTGGAAAATCGAAAAGAGAGGCAGTTGACCTCGCAGCCAGTTTTCCAGCAGGCTCCGAAATAGCCAGGTAACCTGGCTAAGTTGCAACAGGCGAACTTCAAACGCCAAGAAAAACGCGTGCAAAAGTCGTGCAGCAGAAAATCAAAAAATCAAAAGTTGTTCGGATCAAGTTTTGCGTTGCGAATCGCTTTTTGGTCCACTTCTGCGTGGCGTTTAATGGTAATTTGTGGGAAAATCCTAGGGATACGAGTTTGGGACTACCACAATTTGTAAGATAATTTACTTATGTGAATTATTTATAACAAGAAAGTAAGCAGTTAGTTACAGAATTAAGTCAATAGTAAAATAAAAAATTTATAGTTTAATAAAATCTAGAAAATAGTAAAGCGTTTCTGCTACTCAAAATCTAACAACACTTTCTCTCTTCACAAAAAAGTTGCTTAATACTTGTAAGTACGATGACAAAGACTATAAAACTTTCATTCATAAAGTCAGAGATTACAGCCCCAATGACCTGATAAACCACAGTGACATAATTTTGTACAAAATCATTAGTTGGCTTGTTGTTTAATGGTGAGAATATGATGAAAATTACTTAATAAGACAACGACAATTTTTCTTGTTATCATCTGATTATTCACACTTCCTGCGTAAATAATCTGGCAAGATTATCAATAGAGCTGCCATAATTATGACTTGTTTTTTATTTACAACTTTATCGGATGTAAGGCATGCTGCACAATATCTTGGGCACTGAGGCGGACCGAGTGTCGATTAAAACCAACTCGAGTTGCAGTTGTCTTCTTGTGGTTTTTTGCTGTACTCGCACGATAGCTTCATTGATATTGCTTGGCATTGTCTTCATTGCTGCGTTTGAAGGTTTCTTTGAGCTGTCAGTCAGCCAGTCAATCAGTCACTTAGTCAGTCAGTCAGTCAGTCAGCCAGTCAATCAGGCAGCCCCAGTCAGTGTGAACAATACCGCAGATAGAGGCTTGGTTTTTGGGCCTTGTTATACAGTTATCTCGCTGCTGCTTCTGCCATTTGTTTAGGCTTGGTTTTTTCGGGTGCTTATTAATGTGGGAACTGTGCATTTATTAGAATAATAATCATAAAGTAATGCAATTTATGCGTGCCACTACAAAGACGCCAGATATAGCCATGTGAGTTCGGGTGAATTGTGTAAGGTCCACCTTTGGATGGGGTGGGATCTGATCTGGTCTTTGTCAGAAGCTTCGAGAATGGGCATTTAACTTAACTAATAGGCTATTTTATATTCTTTAAAAAAGATTTAAATTGTATGTCAAACAGTTTAGCAAAAATGTATATTTAGGAAACTTTTAAATAACATTTTTCGACTTTACGGTTTTTCGGAAGTGAAAACATATAAACATTTTTCCATATTTTTTTGCTAAATGATTTTTGTAATCTTTATGATCGCATATTAAATAAACTCAACTAAGTGACTAAAATGTCTCAAAGCTTTTAAAGAATGTCATTAGTCGTATTAACCACTTCATCAAATTACACCTTGAAAGCCAATAAGCCATTTGAGAAATTTTCAAAAATTTCACATCGATTTTAAGTTAATTTGAGTCGCCAATTTCCAACTTCCCTGGCTTGTAAAAAAAACCAGCATGATAAGCGACTAAAAACTATAACAAATTTAATGCTCAACACATTGCGGCAAATTGGAGTCATTAATTTGGCCAATGGACCTCCAACTTCGAATGGGAACGGGTTTGCTATGATTTCGCGGTTTCGGTTTAACTTCTTTGCTCGAAATAAAACAAAAATAACGGTAAACGCGCTAAAGAGATGGCAAACTAAAAACAAAATAAAAAAAAAACGGATAAAATAAAAACGAACCATAAAGTTTTTCACGTTCGGGCGTCAAATTGACAAGCGGCACCAAGCTGGCAAGGTGTATGAATAATTTAAAGAAAAGCCCGGTAAACGCAAAAATCAAACATACAGTTGAAATAGATTTGGTAAAAAAGTTAATAAATAAAACTGGCTAGGAACGGAATGGTGGAGAGGTGAAGGGAGGGGGGATCTGGCCAAGAGCGAGGCCATAAATTAACACTGAGGATAACGAGCCGGCAAAAGCAAACATTGGCCTCCCGGCATCCCCCATCGATATTACGCAGCCATCTCCGGGAGGTTTTGGCCATTAGAAATCGGCCAAGAAATCAACGAGTGTGGCAAAGTAAAGCAACTGGAACTGTAGCTAAAGCTGGAAACTGCTGCAACCTGCAACCTGCAACCTGCCACTGCAATGGCAACTGGCTGCTAGCAACTGGCGGCTTGCAACAGACAATCGCATTCGTATTCGCAGCGAAACTGGAGGAAACTGCCGCGCAATATCTGGCCAACTTGGCCAATGTCTGACACAAAGTTGCCGGTCTCATGGCTCTTTGGCCATCTCTTGACTTCCTATTTTCACTTTCATTCGTCATGCGCGTGGCACCACTTTGCTCTTTTCTTGCCACTTATTTCGATACCCTAGCTAGGGTCAATCTAAGTTAATCTACAGGATGATCAATGTTTTCGAAGACATTATCAGTTATCTAAACTATTTCTTACTTTTTCTTAAAATTTTTATAAGACTTTTGGCTTTTAGAATTTTCTTTCTTCTTAGCTTTTTTAATTAATGAAAAAAGTAAGAAATATGGGTTTTAAAACTAATGTTTTGTAATAAAAATATGTGTAAAGAAAGCAAAACAAATTAATGGTTTAGATTTTCAACTTAAATTTTTGCTTTAGTACCTGATAATTACAGTTTTGCTATTCGAACATTTTTATTTACCTTACTTAAGTATTTTTAAGAATTCCTATCATTAAGAAAGCCCAGTTAGGGTATCTTAAAAGTCGATTTTACTTATTTAAAATTGCAATTGTTTTTTATTCACTTGTTTCTTGTTACTTTTGCGTACTTCACGTTGGATTTCTTTGCCTTCGCCTCAGTCAGTTGTCAACGCGGCATCAACAATGTGCGAATGTTTTGTGTGAGAATTCGCTGCATTCGATGCTATTTTTGTTGGCAGCTTGTGATGCCCCATCACGTAATTGTTAAATGTTAGTAGGCAATATTTAGTTAATGCACTTCTGCTGAAGCCGGTCAAGGCTAACGGTTTGCCGTTCATTCGCTATGAATACAGATTCCAGGAACTTGTTGGATAACTAACTACTTAAAGATTCTTTTATGGCTAGCAGTTCCCTTTAGAGAATTAAGCAGCTTGTATATTGGTTGCTAAGCCTCTCGACAGAATTGATTACGATCGATAGGGACTTGGCGAAAAACAATAAAATCGCAACTCGTTTACATCTGCATGATGGATAATTGCACTTTTATTTGTTTGCTGTTGCTATTATTATTTCCAGAGAATTGCCCAGTATAATTTATTGAGATGGCATTGACCGGCACGACTGACAATGGATTTTTCCACCAGAAACCGAAACGGAAATACCAAACAAAAACCTATAAATTTCCCATTTTTCTTCAAAGTTTGGTGGAAAGTTGAACAAAAAAAAAAGCAGAAGAGATTTACATAATTTATTTAAATTTTGTGTTTTTTTTTGGCTTGGTCTGACTTTGGCTGTTGTTGCACGAACGAAACGTGATTGAATATTTACAACATTTTTTTTGCATTTCGCTGGGCAAAATGTTGCAGCAACTGCATGTAATACCCTTGGCGTTGCCAATTACGTGGCACTCGTACTGTACGTACTCGTACAATTAGGCTTCGAGTGAAATTCTGCAATTGCGCGGCGCATCATTCCGGCGCGATTGTCAAAGACCCCAGATGAGAGTTGGCCGGGCCAAGACTCTTGATTGATCGCTGGTTACGTGCTGGATAAGGCAAAAAGCAGCAGCCACATCAACATCTATTCGGTGGCCCCAGAGGCGGATGCAAAAAAAAAAAAAAAAACAGAAAAAATAAAAATATAAGGTGGCCAGCCAGCTTCGGTGGCTACGAACAACATCGTTTCAGGAGCTGCCTGTCAACTGGGTTGCCATTTCATGAGTTCGGCTCTGTGGCCCGCAGACAGTAACAACACTTTTAGTTTCATTGCTAAATGAGTGAATTTGTTAACAGGGTTGTGCTGTAATTGATGTTTTGCCGGGATTTCTCACGCTTGTCGCTAGGATAAGATTTTCTGATCCGCCCAGGGGCCTAGCGAATGTCGATAATGAGCTGATGACCGGGTTAAGTAATCCCCCAAAAAGAGATGAATCTGTATTATTACTTGGCCATTATAACAGATCACAAAGCTATGAAAGTGGAAAATTTCGCAAATTCATGAATGTCCCAAGGGATGCTACAAAGTTTTAAAAAGAAATACCTTGTTTCTTCCATAAAAAGATTGTTAGAAAATTAGATGAATAGATAATAAAAGTATATAGTGTATATAGTTTTAAAAAAGTATTAAGAGATATCAATTCAATAGATACATTTCTTCTAGTGTATATTCAATCATTTTACACAATATGCTAATATTCCGCTACTCAGGAAACTTCCCCGAAAAGCATTCAAAAATTTGTCCCATTTTGAGATTTATGTCGGCTCACGTTTGTGGCTGATCTGTCTTCTAAAGCCTGACCTGGCAATGTGCCATAACGAATTGTAAACAAATAAAGCCAAGCCCGAGCCCATTTAAATGGCAAAAGGCAGAGTCTTCAGAAAAGGGGGGCCACATGGTGCAGATACATTGAATGCCCGGAATGAATGGACGAATGCCAAAATGCCCGAAAAGGGAGCAGACCAAACAATCGCCTGGCGAACAACAAACAACAAAAGTCAATCGATGTCTTTGGAGAGGAGTAACAACAATGGCCAAGCAACAGGCTTTGGCCAACTTTAAAACTTTAAACTGTTTTTCGAATTTTCTCTCACTTTGCGTTTTTTTGTGGGCCCACCAAAATGTTGGCAGCAGATAAAGCTGCGCGACAGCACGCTCCCAAAACATGGAGACATACAAATTTTTATCTGCCGCTGACATTTGAACATGACTTTAAAAAATCTTCAAGACTTGTGTGTGTTTGCACTTTTTTTTTGTGTGTGTCTGCTGGGGTCTTTGAAGTTTTTTTTTTGGCCAACAACTACAGAAAAGAAAGCTAAGCGTGGGTGTCATTCGGTCAAAGCACCCTGCTCCCTGTTCACTTGCCCCCAACCTCCCTCCACCCCAGTCAGCGATACCTATTATTTTTTGAGACTCGCCGGCCACCGTTTGCCCTCAATAAAATTTGATGGATCATCGCGGTCTTCTTTAATTTGCTCTTGCAATAAAAAGAAGTGCTGAAGAAAACAAGCGAAATTAAAGGCCTTAAATCGAACATCGATTCCGATATGCAAATCAAGAAATTATCTTGCCAGGCATTCGGCGGCTCGAACTCTTTTTTAATGGGTTCAGGCTTAAGTGTGTGAGCACGCTTAATTTGGAAATATCAGTAATTTGTTGAATTGCTTGGGAGAAATGTTGATGATGTTCGGATTTCAAGCTTCAAGCTTTTGGCGAATATTTGTCATAACTTTGAAATTTTTTGGAAATCACTTTTGGATGCCATATTTTTGCGGCCTCAATAAGATTTAATAAGATTACTTTAGTGATTAGATTGCAGAAGGGGGAAGTTTTATTTTATTAACAGATTTCACGGAAATTTTGCTTTTTTTTTTTAATATTTCGTTTTTTGCCATGACTTAAAAGTTACTTATTTTTGGGGAATTTAGTCTTTGCTATGACTAATCCGTTGAAATGTTAATTTTTTCAATGATTGTTATAAAATGGGAAGTTCTGTGATTATTGGGAATCACTTTTATGTTAACTAATACAAAGAGTAAATTCACACAAAATTTAAAGGTATTATCTTTGATTTTAAGAATATGAAATCTAATGATTTCCTATTCTTTGTGATAAACCAATCTGGAGCATAGGTATTTCCTTTCAATTCAAATCAAAAGACGAAATGTGCTAACCATAAATAAGACCAAGTAGTTTGTCTTTTACAACACCAACCGTTTCCGTTAAAACGAGATGGCGGCTAATAAGCAACCGAATTGAGGGAGAAACCGGGTTAATTTCCTATTACTGTAATGGACGTTTAATGAACTGGCATCGTAGTATAACACCTTAATGTGAGTATTTTTTAAGACGAAAAATACACTATGTAATTGAGTCCAACATCGAACATATTAGTGGTCAAATGGCAGACAATGGGTGACCGTTTTGATGTGTGTGGAAAAAGAAATATAAACCAGTCAGTGTCAGTGGTAACTTAAATTAGAAACGTGTCTAGAGCAAAAATCGTGAGGCATACATTGTTGGTGGACCAGAAAAACAAACGAATCGAATCGAAACGGAGCTATTGCAAAAAAAGTGCAGTACACTTTATCGCCGTGAGCCATCAGAAGACCAAACAAAGTTCCGTTTCTTGGTCTTATGACAATGGCAAATTTTCCAGCTGTCTTCAGGCCCCAAAAGCTGGCCAAAATCTGTTGAGCTTCCTCAATGCCAGAAACGGACATAACGGATTTTTTGATTGTGAAAAACCGAAAAAAAAATCCACAAAATAATAGAAATAAAAGCGATTGCATCAACTTACGATCGTTGAGTCCAGTGGTTTGGTGTCTGGTTTCCTTTTATGCTTTAAATATTGAATTAATTGTTTATTCCTTTTCGAAAATGCCTCGAGGAAAATTGCTCAATGGTCCGAAGAAGATATAAAAAAACTTGTGGTGCTATTAACTTATCAGCTTTTATTGAACACAACACACTAACGGCGGCCAACAATGGGTTTTAGTCACTGCCTTCTAGGGCTTTTTTTTTTAATTTTATTTGCTAGTTACCCTCTTGAGCACTGCACTGAAATGGGGTTTCTTCTGGTGGGTCTCCTTAACTTGTTTCAACTGCGCGCAGACGCAGAGCGTTACCGACTCAGTTTCTGGCCAAGAGGCGCGAGTCTTTTTAAACTGGCTAAAAGCTTGGACTTAACGAAAGGCAGCTTTAAGCTGGCCGAAAAGCTGGCGCTCTCTGAAACGTGGCCTAAGCTTCCAGCTTTTGGGTGTTAGAAATGAGTAATTGGTCTAAATTTTAACGAAAGTTAATTTTACAGCAATTAGGATTCGTTTTATTTATTAATTTAAGGTTAACTATTCCTTTATTTTCCAGTGTTGTAAAATTTTTTAAAACCACCCTTGTTCTTGGCTAAGACGTCACAGGTTTCTTCAACCACCTCTACAAGCCAAACAGCCCACACAAAAAGCTGTTAACTTCGATCTGCGCCTGCGCAGGTTTAACGATTTCCAAGTCAAGCGAAGAAGCCACTGGCAAAATAAAGTCAATCGGCTGCTGAACTGCGTTGTTGAATTCATTTCCACAAATCGTGGTTATTGCAAGGTTTTTAATTAACGGAAATTAATTGTGAAGGTCTAGATACAAAAAAGTAAGAGCCTTAAACATTCAAAAACTGTAATCTAAGCTGGGAAATTGGCAAGTGAAAAATCTAAAGTACTAACAAGAAATATTACAAAGTAATAAAGCTCAGATGCTGCAAAAAAAAGAACAGTAAATAAAAAAATTGAAAGTGCTGTTTAAAGAGTTAATTTTAGATAAATTATACTAAGAAATTTGAGATAGTAAAAGAAAAACACTGTTGTTTTTCCATTGGACTTGGCCTCTGGAAGTGGAAAAACCTGCCAACTCCGTGTGCGTGTGTGCGGGGGCTGTGATGATTCATGCGACCCCAGACGAGCACCCTCAGCTCATGTGTATGTGTGACTCTCCCGCGCTCTTTCCCTAGAAAGTGTGCTTGTGTGTGTAAATGTGTCCTCAAGTAATGCAAATAACAACAAAAGCAAACCGTCAGCATAACCTGAGCAGAACACGGGCAGCAGCTGCCCACGGAAAAAAGCCTCTAGCATACATTTGTGCGCAAAATCGATGTACGAAATTTTTCACGTGCCACCGAAAGTTGCAAACAACAACTAAAGACACCCAGCAAAACTTTTCCTCCTCACTTACAAATTGTGACTAATTGTTATTCCACACAGCTACAAGGAACATCGCGAGTGGGAACGTGCTGAGAGCGGCGAAGCCAAATCCATTAAAAATGGCTGAAGAGTATATACCAGATGTCAGCGTCATGGACACCAGTAAGTAACATATTGCAGCGCCAAATGTGACTTTTGTGGCTGATCTGTCCAATTTGCTCATTACGAACTTGCCCCAAGTGTTGCCGAAAAGTTTTTTCCAAACTTTTTCCTTGCCAATGAATAATTAATTCGGGTCTTTGTGACGGGGTATATGATTCGTTTTGATTGGGGTTTCGTTTGACATTTTTATGGTTACTCAAACTTTATGTGGGCTTATTATGTGGGATGTACATAAGTCTTAACGTAATAAGCGATTTGTCAGGGTTCTAGTGGGTTACATTTAATAACAAGACAAGTTTACCAACAACTCACAGCTGTTGGCGGAGAGTCGTCACTCCTTCTTTATCCACTTTGATGACTAATCGCAGTTGAGTTTTTTGTTAGGTTTTACTCATGAATAGTGAAAACTGGCAGACGGCATCGTTCTCTTTTCTAATTTAGTATTTATTATATATTTTATGTATTATTAAAAGTTACCTTTTACCTTTGACCTTTTTTAAAGTCCCTCAAGTTTTAAAAACTATTACTAAGCATTTTAAAGATGAAAGTTGTAAAATACTCCTGTGAGTTAAAAAAGTTAGAGCTGTTAAAATACAATTTTTGTTGTAGACGATAAATTTGAATCAGTTTTTATTTATTTATATTCTGGCAACTTAATATTACCTCCGAACGGAAGTTTATTTAAAAGTTTAATATTAAATCAATTATTTTGGTAGAAATAAGATCACTTTATGGACTTACAAGGACTTAAAGAAACTATTTTAGTAAATAAGCAAAATCTATTAGTATACTAAAAATACATTCTCTAACCAAATTCCAATTGTCCCTTCCAGTTGTGCCCGCCATCCTGGGACTGACTGCTGCTGCTGTTCTCTCGTCGGTGGCCTGCATCTGCGCCCGGCAGATGCGCCTCCGTAACAAGAAGCAGAGCCAGCACGATGCCTCGTTCCCCTTCCAGCCGACCCGGCGACCGACCGCCGTTCGATCGCCCAGCGGCCAGCCGCCGCACTACTTGAAGAAGTCCCCCTCGCCGACGGGTGGCAAGCAGATGGGTCTTCTGTCGCCGATGCAGGATCAGTCCACCTCCCCGATCGCCCAGCCGAATGTGAAGTACAGCGATGAGGACGATGGCCCACCCCAGCATGCGGAACAGCAGAATGGCAATCAATTGACCGTAGTGGATGGCAACGGATTAAAGCACTCGCTTCACAACAGCCTCCATCATTCGCCGGTGGAGACAATCGCTAATGGAAGTGTGACCATTACCTTGGACGACCAGGTTCTGACCAACGGAGGAAAGGAGCTGACCGTGACTGATCAGTATGGAAAACTGGGTACCATCTACTTCAAGCTGCGCTATTTGGCCGAACGGAATGCCCTGATGGTCTCCATCATTCGGTGCCGCGGATTGCCCAGCAAGGGAGGCTCGGGAGGAACAGGAGACATCCCCACTGGCATGAACGGACGCACTCAGGCGGCCACGGATCCGTATGTGAAGCTCCAACTGCTGCCGGACAAGCAGCACAAGGTCAAGACCCGTGTGGTTAGGAACACCCGGAACCCGGTTTACGACGAGGACTTCACCTTCTACGGCCTGAACATGAACGACCTCCAGAACATGTCGTTGCACTTCGTCATCCTCAGCTTCGATCGGTATTCGCGCGACGATGTTATTGGCGAGGTGGTTTGCCCATTGACCTCCATCGAGATCGGTGATATTTCTAAGGAGGCTCTGTCTATTAGCAAGGAGATCCAGCCAAGGAGTTTGAAGATTCGTGCCCAGGGCCGGGGTGAACTGCTCATTTCTCTTTGCTGGCAACCAGCTGCCGGTCGTCTTACTGTCGTCCTGCTTAAGGCCCGAAATTTGCCTCGAATGGATGTCACTGGTCTGGCTGATCCGTATGTTAAGATCTATCTCCTTTATAATGGCCAACGCATCGCCAAGAAGAAAACGCACGTGAAGAAGCGCACTCTGAGTCCCGTTTTCAATGAGAGCTTCGCCTTCGATATTCCCGCCGCCGAGGTTAGTAATAATATTTTAACTTATGTAAGATGTTCTGAGTTGTATTTCTCAAAGTTTTTTCATACTACTTATTATCCAGGCACCAACTCTGCTGGAAAACTTAATTTAGTAAACAAAAACTAAAAATGCTTAAAGGCATTAATAAGTTATTTCTAAAATTGATTTCATAGAATTAGCTTTGGCTTTATATAAACGAGGGTTATACCTCTTTTGGAAACAGTTTTTGATCTATGAAAACTAAAAAGACAGCTTTCATTTAGGACAGAAATTTAAAGATTCTTCTGGTGTTTTTTATTATCTGCGAGTTACAAATTCTCTACACTGAAGTCAAATAATCACTTCACATTTATACATATAAAATTATTCAAGAAAACTAGAAATCATATCACTGCCACCTTCATAACTACAAACATGCAAATAACAAAGAAAACTTCTCTAATATAAATTGCAGGGCACTGGCGCCAGTCTTGAGGGTGTGTCTTTGGAGCTGATGCTGCTCGACTGGGATCGCGTGACCAAGAATGAGGTAAGTTAAATTGGATGACCTAATGCTAATAAGCTGATGATTGTACGTTTGACATTTTTTCCGCAGGTCATTGGTCGGTTGGAGCTGGGCGGACCGAACTCGAGCAGCACAGCCTTGAACCACTGGAACGAGGTGTGCAACTCGCCACGCCGCCAGATCGCCGAGTGGCACAAGCTGAATGAGTAGGGAAGGGGGAGGAACCACCTGGGCGCTGGCGCCCCTTAATGAGAAGGAAAGAAGCAGGAAAAGGCATCTAAAAGCGAGAGTCTTGCGGTTCATCAGCATGAGCTCGTTGCCACTTTGAATTTATGTCTTATTTAAGATATATTTTTATAATTTTTTTAATGATTCTTTTTTACTTTTTATTAAGTTATGAGTTCTTGAAGATCACTAACGATTTTTGCTTTAAGTTTAAAGCAACATTTGTGCGAGATATATGGCAGCTTAAGCCACAAGCAGAGAAAAATATTTAACAAACAACCACTAACTAAATTAAATGTATTAGAAAATGTTTAGGACCCTAAAAATGCATGTAACTGTAAGATAATTCAGAAAAATCTTAATATAAACAAGTTGGCGAATGTGAAAATGTAATGAAGCTGAAAAAAATCACAAATTTCTTATATAGACACCGATTTTGTTGCTGTATAGAACTTTTCTTCAACGCTTTATGTAACTTATATCTAAATATGATTTTCATATCAAACGATTATAGTCCCATTTAATATGCCCACCATGAAGTTGATTTCCGAAGAAAACGATGAACATTATTAACCTTGCATATGTATAAAAATATTTATGATGATACCTAACTCTTAAGCATAATGTCTGTGTAAAATTTGAGTTTTATTGTTTAGAAAGAGTTTTGTTTAATTGTAAAGTATTAAACTATACCATGGATTTAAATGGATACCAAAACACCAACGCTGCACACTCCGAAAGCTGTTGAAGTGTGTCCAGATGGAAGCGACGTAAACCAATGCTTACTGCTTAACACTTTATACGTACTCTTAAAAAATAACTAAAACTACAAATAAAACTAAACCAAATTGAATCTAGAGAGAACACGCAGCAGAATGCTTAGCACCAAGAAGCTACAAAACCACACACAAAAATCGATCGAAAAAGTCAGAAAAACATTGATTCGGAGAAGAAATCAAACACAATACAATAATGTAAGCAGCATAGTACATGTAGGAATCAAATACCAATACTCTAGAGTATAACCACTCACGAATAGCTCAAACCGAACGCAATAAGCACTCCAAGGTGGATCTAGCGGCACTACTTATAAATCGAACAGATAATGGATAATGGATAATAAAACCGATGAAAGCATAGCTTCAATATACCAATGACACCGAGTCATTATCCACTTACTGATACTGAGTGTACTGAATACAATTATAAACTATAACAGATCTATATGGACATCAGCCCGCTTCTACGTATATTTTGTAAACTGAATGTTAGAGCATTAAACTTCATTGATAATTACATACATACATAAAACCATACATAAGGATATATACAAGCATACAAATACAACTTCAATTCGTGTCCAATCAAAACTTCAATTCGTCTAATGGAAAAACAATAATTACCAATACAGCATATGCGATGAGTTTTTGCAAAGGAACCCAAATTATATGAGATGTGTATAATTCTACATTATATGTAATAGTAATTGTAAGCTACATCAAATGGTTAATTTCAGTAATAAAACGTATTATATAAAACAATATGATGTGTGCATTTTAATCTGAGTCTTATCTGGCTCTCTGCTACTTATATATGATATAGTATTTATTCGATTCTTTACTTGAGTTCAATATTTAATGCAGTGATAAGAGGTGTTTCCTTTCATTTGCTTTCAGTGCAAGAACAGCTCTCCTCGGGAAAAGTTAAACACATTCCGGTTCTGAAAACGATTTATTCCTACTTAAAGTTTCGATAAAGTAATCAGATCGTCTTAGTCATGAATCGTGATAGATCGGTATTTTAATTTTTCGTTTTTTTTGTTATTAACATGTATTCTAGGTAAGGAATCTTCTTTGTTTCTTCTTCTTAATACGGAGGTTATCTCTTAGTATAACTTTTCGCAATCGTTAAACCTTGTTAATTTTCTTAACAAAAAAGTATAATAATTATCAGTCAAACAAGGGGAATAGCCTTATATGTTGAGACCCGTAAATAAATATTATTCATAAATAAGTTATCAGAAAAAAACTTTTAAATATTTTTCATTACTTCTGAAGAACTTCCAGCTTGAACTTTACTTGATATACAAAATCAAACAACTGAAAAGTGACTTTCAGACCTTCAGATCTTATGTTCAATATCAAGTAATCTAAATCTTGTCTTCATATATTATGACACCGTAATTCTAGATTCGACTTTTGCCTTAAACTGTACCACTAAAAACAATAAGACTCTTCAGGATAGTCAGATATGTGACGGAGTGGTCGACTGCCAGGCTGAGAAAGATTCTAATCAGCTAGATGAGAAGTTTGAGTTGTGTTTTAAAAAAGTCTGTGAAGGCGAGAACTTCTTTCGCTGCACCTATGGAGGATGTCTGAATGGAACTTTGAAGTGCGATGGAAAGATCGATTGTTGGGATGGAAGTGATGAGAATAAGTTCTTGTGCTTGGAAGATGCAAATCTGCTGAATGAGTACGAAGACCTCAAAGGGGATTGCGTGTAAGTTGGCCGTTTTACAATCACCAATTTAATTAATTATAACTCAAACCGTTTTTAATTTATACATATTTATAGATAGATTTTCACATGTGTCAAAAATGTTTTCTTGTTTTCAAGACCTATTTTTCTTTTCTGATCCCTGAAGTCTATATATACTTTGTACCTTATATGAGGTAACTTGATGTTACTTTGTGATTTATATTAATATTTATTTCATGAAATCGGCTAGGGTCTTAAAACTCTTCTCGTGTTACTGTTGATTTTAAAAATACTTACTTAAAGTACTTACCAGAATTAGATTTACCCAATCTAAATTTTATTTTTATGAAAAAAATACATACATACATACAAACATACATTATACATGGGCATATTTAATGGTCATTCTAACCGTTTTCAGAGATGAGGAGCTGTTCGATTGCAAGGGATCGTGCCTTAACTGGAGTCAGGTGTGCGATGGACAGGCTGATTGCAAGGACGGCAGCGATGAGGATGGGACACTTTGTGCGGCCTTCGAGTGTCCGCCGCCGTCGTTCAGATGTCTCTATGGAGCCTGCGTTAGCCCGAATGCATTGTGTAATCATATTCCCGATTGCGTTGATGGATCCGATGAAATGGCCGAGATTTGCCTGACCGAAAAGCCAGGTCACTCAGTTGATAATCAAATCGCCACCTGGAAAGTGAGGCACTGCAAGCTAGACGACCCATCCAAATCTCTTGTGGTTGAGAACTATGTAGGTGGCACCACATTCCAGCGGAATGCCAATGTGCCTGACAAGACCGTAGTCCATCTAAGTTGCCTCAATGGACATGGTCTTATTGGCCAGGAAAAGAACATTTGCGATGGCGACAAGTGGCGATATCCGTTGGCCAAGTGTGTTCCCCAGTGCAAGCACACTGGCAGTATAATCCACACAAGCCAGTGCATCCTGGATGGTCACCTAATCGATTGTGATCAGCCGGAGCTGCCAATGGGCACTCAAATGGTGGTCAGATGCTCCTCAGACTATAAGCAAACAGGCGATGATGGCCTGCAGTTTTGCCACGGTAACGGAAGCTGGGTAATCCCAAAAGTGCTGCCATCTTGTGAGCCCATCTGTGGCGAGTGGCAATTAAAGGATGCCCAATCGAATTCTTCTCCTCCTTGGTTGGTAAACGTCTTCATGCGTGGTCACAAGCCAGAGTTTACGGTAGTCTGCAAGGCTACCATCTTGTCACCATACGTCGTGATTAACCAATAATCTCTGTTTCCAAAAAGTGTCTATTAAGAGTGTGGCGTCTACAGAACCGGTGCTCTATACAGTGGCCGAGGGTGGAAGGTACAATAATACCTTTCGGCCCCACGAGCCTCATCCCTACAAACTGCACAATGTTTCCTATATTCACATGTTGAGGTTCGGATTTGTTTTTTAAAAACTGTTACTCCAATTGAAGTCCAATTTTCAAACCAAATTTCCTTGCAGTGTATCGGATGGAATGCTCGAAGGTTCTTTGTCCCTGATCCATTTGATACAGCCCCTGGAGTTTGGTGTGAAGCTTAGGCCTGTCTGCCTGACCGAGGATGTGACCTCCGATTGGGTTACCAAAGGGGATTTCAATGGCACCTATATAGGGGATGCCACCATAGATGATTCAAGGATATCAGGACGATACGAGCTGAAGGAAGTAATTGGGAATGCCTATGAGAAGTACCACATCAGTGCCTTTATGAAGGCCATCCAAAATGACATTGCTGAGACACAGGCGAAGGGGAACATTTAATTCACTTTATTACGGGTTGAGTTTTGTGGTTAATCGGAAATCAATTTACATCAACTGAGAGGAACACACATCTACTATTGACAATTATATAAGTATGTATGTATATTCAGCTGGATATCCGATCGGGAACTATATCTTAGCCATTCAAATCGTACTGTAATCTGCTGTAATCGTTAGACGGTAAAACAAATAATCATTTAGCTCAGCTATCTGAATACCCAAATGTTTCTATTTAATATGTGTGTATTTGTGTGATGGTGTGTGGCTCAGAGTTCAGAGTTCAGAGTTCATTTTGCTATTCACTTAACGGTAGGTATTTTGTATTGTGTTCCATTTTCGGTTTTTGTCTTTACATTGAGATTGCATTCTGGAGTTAAACACTAGCTATGGGTTAGTTTAAATTTAATTTAAGTTTACTTTTAGATTTAGATTAAAATTAGAATTACTTTATTTAATAATACATTACATTTGATGTTGTCATACTCGTAATTACGTTTAGGTTTAGTTTCTGCCATTTAGTACGAAATTTTTATAGGACACATTCAGTTTTTGCTTAGTAACTGCGGTAAAAACGCTCTTTAAAATGTTTGATTTTTCACTTTTTTTTCGCCATCTGGTTCGTTAATTTTGATCACTTCAGTCTTTCCAAAAAGTAATACAACATCTCTCTATGGTTTTGTTTTTCGTTTTTGTTTTTTGTTTTTTTTTTGTTTTTGCAACTGCCAACATATACTTAGAAAAGGTTCTTTCAAAATAGTTTTCAATCTATCGCATAGTTTCATCTATAGTCGTAAACACGTTTGATTTCTTGAATTCTTGTAGCTTTTTGTGTTTTGTTTCTCGAGAAGATTCCCCCAGAAATGTCTGTATTGAATACGATACACCTAAACAAATATATATATATATATGAAGATTTGTATTTTAATGTAAATTACGTTTTGCCGGTTTTAGTTCCTTTAGGTTGATGTATATCTATGTACATGCATCGGCGTAGTTTGCAGCTTTCAACTTCTGCCCTTTCTGCGATTCAAGACTGCGAGATCCTTTTGTGCATCGAAAACAAATTCATTTTCATATTTACAGGCGTTAGATAGACGAGGTCTAGGAAATCAAAACACTTGATAGGGAAACTTTTGCTGGACAGAATATTAGTAGACTTGTAGAACGCAGGCTTACTCGCCAGTTAATCGCGATTCTGGTGTTCGTGTTCCAAGACATCGTATAAACATAGGTTCTGGACGGTGTTGGTCAAATTAGAGTACGTATCGTTGGCCATTTACAGTTTGCTTATCGAGTGCCCGAGGACACCCTTAACTTAACCGAAATAAGATCTACCAAAATTACAAACTGTCCGTTACGGGCTACGACTAACTACAAATTAATACTGTACAGGAATGCACGCCTCGTCTCTGCTTGGAGAAATAAATGGATGAACTAGCAACTTAGAAGTAGGCCCCTAGCTATCCCTTGTCTTTCCCAGGACCCACACTAACGCCCAGCAGATGTTCCCCGCCATCAGACCCGCCGGCTGGTGGGCATAGTTCCGGATCTGGTGCAGCGAGATCAGCTGGTTGGGGAACGCGTTGGCGTTGTTCTGGTTGACGTTCTTGTTCGGAAAGCTGATGGCATCATAGAGATAGGGCCGCTGGGCCATTGGGTGGTGGCTCAGAGAGTTCAAGTGCGGCGGCATCGAGTTTATCGGCGTGAAGGCCGAGTTGCTGGTGGTTTTCGTTATGGATGCGGCATCGTAGGGACCCACGGCACTGGGAGTCGAAACTGTTGAGGAAAATTAAAAGTAATCGGGAATAGAATTAAAACGTATTCTGTCTTTAACATTTCCTATAATTTTTCTTCATCGTTTGAACGGTAATATTTGGTGTAGTCCACTAGCTTATATATATTTTTTAATTTATAGCAAAATCCTTTTTTATTAATCCGTTTTCTAAGCCGATTTAGAAATACTTTTAATTTTCGCAGGTCAGTGTGTTCTTATGTTAATTATAAGATTTTATGGAAGCGATAGTAAAAGGTAGATTCGATATACGTGCATGGGACTTAGACCCAAGTTTTGCCTATTATTTCTCTTATTTTGCAATCTTTTAAATGCCAGATTTCATTTGCCAGATACAAATGTTCCTCGATTATTCCTTTCTAAGTCTTACAGTATATAAAATAAAAGGTTTTATTAAGGAGTTGATAGCTTTAACACTGATAAACAAGGTCATAGGGAAATGGACATGAGTCGGATCAATGCTGATCAAGAACGTATGTATTTTTTAGCTTCAGATAATATATTCTTTACTGCGTTTTAAAACTTTTTAATAAAATTATTATAACCCGAACAAAAACGGAAAATAGATTAAAAGCCCTAAAAAACATTTCATGCTAAGATCCTTTAAATTTTACTTAAAAATAGTTTTATTTTACTTTTTAAAAAATATTTCTTAAGATTTTTCTCCCAAAACAATTAGTCTTACCTATATCCTCCCTGACGGGATCGGGCATGCGATGATGGGGCTGCAGCTCCGGTCCGTGGCCGTTGCTCTGGGCCCCATTAGGCGCCGTCGGCTGTGCGTAGTGGGCCTCCATGCTGTGCTGCGGGGGAGGTTGCTGTTGCGGATGGTGGTGTTGCTGTTGTTGTTGTTGCTGCTGTTGCTGCTGGGGCGGGACATGTTGCTGCGGAGGGACTCCATGCTGCGGATGGTGGTGATGCGCTTGCTGCTGTTGCTGCTGCTGTTGTTGTTGCTGCTGCTGTTGTTGCTGCTGGTGCATCACCTCCATGGCATTGGCTGCAGCGGCTGAGTCCGGACTTACCTTCGGCCAATAGCCATTGTCGCTGGGGGCAATCGAGACAGGAGGCAGGCCGAGATTGTTGCGCTGATGCTGGGTGGGATTGGGCGGTGGCGGCGGACCATTGGCTGCGTTTCCCGATCCGCCAGCGGCAGCAGCGGCCGCCGCTGCAATTGCCGCCGCACTGCCCGGCGCAATCGGAGGCCTCTTGTCCGTCCGCTCTGCGTGCTTCTGCATGTGCTTGGTCAGGTATGTCTCCTGGGTGTACGACTTGCCGCAGTACTGGCAGATGTGCGTCTTCAGGTGCTTCGACTCCTTGTGCTTCGGGATGTGCTCCAGAAGCGAGGGCTCGTCCGAGAAACACTTGTAGCAGGAGTTGCACTTGAACGGCTTGTCCGTCTGGTGGCATCGCGAGTGCGACTGTAGATTGGAGAGCTGCGAGAAGGCCTTCTGGCAGCCGGGATGCCGGCACTTGTACGGCTTATCGCCCGTATGCGTCCGGATGTGCTGCTGCAGGTGCGAGAGCTGCGTGAATTTCCTCTGGCAGATCTCACAGCGATACGGCTTGATGCCCAGGTGGATCCTCGTGTGCTGCGACAGATACGAGGAGTTGGCGAACGCCTTCGAGCACTGGGTGCACTTGTAGGGCTTAGCCTCTCGCATATGGATCTGCGTGTGCAGCTGCAGATCTGCCTTTGAGCTGAAGATCTGAGAATGGAAAATTGGATATTGAGGAATGGCATAAACATATATATATATATATGGTGTGAATTGGCTTCTGGTGGGACTGTCTGCAAGGATTGCAGCTCGCTCTTTAAACTTCATTTAAAAAAACAGTATCTAGACATTTTTCGTATTTTTAAATTAATAATCTTCAATATTCTATATTGAGTTTACTAATAAATTTTGTTTGTTGGATTAATTTTTTTTATTATATTGAATGCTATTAGATTGAAGTAATCAAAAAGCCTTTGGAAAACAGCAAAGCGCATTTGATATTTTCTTTTCGGTTATCTTCTTTTTAGGGTCGTCCAAATGTTTTTACTAAAACACTCACCCACGATTTGACTTTTTGTAAAATTTTGAATGTTTGAATGTTTTTAAAGATTTTTAATTATATTTCGTGTTTAGTACCATCAAAAGTAAGGAGGTTAAGAGATAAAATTTGTACATAGTTTAGCCCTCTTGAAATATTTTTATCCACATTCCTATTAGCAATCAAAAGTCTCTACGATGTGGGTTGGAATTTAACTGATGATATTTACAATTAGTTAACTTTTGTTAATAAAAATGCAATTTTTCAATAAATATGACTAATACTTAAAAATGGCTCAAATGTGTGTCGAAAAAAAGCTAGACGACGAATAAAACTTAAAAATGTAACAAAATATTTCTATTTTCCTTACAGGCAGACATAAGTTTAAAAAATATATAAGAAATGTATTTCCATTCCTTCCTTTTATATATTTTTTTAAGGATTTTCTTAATTACGCCTTTCATTTTCGAATAAATATTTTTATTAACCCTATTTCCATCATAATTATTTATTATCTCCTATTTTAGCGCCTTATTATGTACAACTTTTACAATCGCAAACATCTTTTGACCCATAACTTAGCGAAAAAAGATTTAACTTGACCCCTTAAACCGAATTGTAAAATTTCATAAACATTGTTTAAAAGTCCCTTCGTCACCTTGGTGTCCTTTACGTCCAGCTGGGTCATGTGGTGCGGCGAGCTGGTGGAGGATGAGATGCCATTCCCCGATCCCGCAGCCGTGGTCACGCCACCCACAACAGTTGCTCCTGCGGAGGCATTCTGCGGATTCCTTTCGTTCAGCGTGGCATTCTGCATCCGGATGCCGCCGTTGTCCACGCTGTTGCTGGTCACTATGATGTGCTGGTTGGGGTTGGGATAGATGCGGGACTTGCGGCCCCGTGTTGATCCAGTGGGAGCTGTTCCCGCGGTGGTGCTGCTCCCACTGCTGCTGCTGACCACCGCATCATTTACGTGCTTCTGACTACTGGCCACCGATCCACTGACTGCCGAAGAGGCCACACTGCTCTCCAGATTAGTGATACTTGGCTTTGGTTCTGGAACCAGCTGATACTGATGTTGCTGCTGCTGCTGCTGAAGTTGCTGCTGCTGCTGTTGCTGCTGCTGCTGCTGCGGTGGCTGAGTTTGCTGATGGGGCTGCTGGCTGTAGCTGAGAACCGAGTTTCTGAGATCAGCGGTGTTGGAGAAAACACTCAGTGGACCCAGAGCCACCCGTTCGTTGAGGCTGTTCCGCAGGTGATCGATGGACCGATGGACGGCATGGGAGTAATCCCCTCCAGCTGGCGGAATCTCCCCGATTAGTGGTGAATTATGATGGTAATCGAGGCCACCGCCTATCGGCCGATACTCGATAAGCCGGCCTTCCATTTGGCTGCTTATTAAATCTATTTTGGTTTAATTTTAGTTCACTGGTCTAAGCACAATTCTTGATCCAACTTGGATTTGCAGGTATCTTAGGGATTTCACTTTCACTTCGTTTTGTTTTAGTTTTTATCTATTAAGTTGAGGAGATTTTTATAGACTGCTATTTAGTTGTTTATTAATTGTTTAATTTTCTATTGAGAAATACGAGCAGAAAGATATTCGTATTAACCGATATTTAAAAATTTCTACAATATATTTTTATTGACACCTATGGCTTGACGACTCCCCATTGGGGGAACCAGAAAACGAAAAATAAGAAATTGTGAAGTTGCGGGGATTTTAAATATGTGTTTTTTATGAACATGTGGATAGAAAAAAGATAAAAAATAAATAAAAATGAAAATCTATCCCGACTACTGCCTCTTCTGTTTCAAAACACTCCCTCTTAACATTCCATCATCTTAGCTTTCTCACAATTTAGCTTCTAATGAATGCGAATGCAACAATTTGCGGAATAGAATAAATTTGTTGGTGCTGTGTTAGCGCTTTGTTGACATTCTGCCACAACTGCCAAAGCCAATATTAAATAAAGGGGGAAAAAGAAAAGAAAAAGAAGCTCAGCCAAAAACCTGCGAGACGCGACCGCAAAAACGCTTTGGTCTCGACTGGGTGCACCGCGGAGCCGGAAAAGCGACTTTTTGTCTTTGCTTTTGTTGTCCTAAATCTAACGCCAGTTTTTCCACAGCTCACTTTTTATTTTGCATTTTCAATTGCTACGCCTGTTCACATTTTTTTCCCTTATCCCCCTATATCCCCCCTTAACGTTTTTACGCGACAGAAATATTTTTTCCACACGATTTTGGCTTTTTCGGCTTGTGTTCGACTTTTTGCGGCGCTTTTCCGCTTTTCCATTTTGTATGCATTTCTCTTTTTGGACTGCCTTCGATTAGATTTTTTCTATATATTTGTATAAATGCTTGGCTGTGCTTTTTTGTGCCACCTCCCCCAGGTTTTGGTGATTTCTTTTTTCTATGTGGAATAGCTAGTCATTCAGGCGCAGACATGCCGCAGACATCCTGTGGAATTTTCCAGGTGAAAGTCCTCGATGGTATTTTTTCTGGTTTTCTGCTCGGCTTTTTATTGAAATGCTCCAATTTGATACCTTCTAGTTCTAAACGCGACAAATTATTCATTCATGAGTTGAGCGTTTGTTTGCTTTGTTGTCCTGTCAATGCTGCCGGCTTTTCTATTTTTTCCATCTTTAGTTTTTTTATTAGTTTGTTTAGATATAAATGAAAGCAGGTTTTTTGTGTTCATACCATTGACCTTGACTAGTATTTTGTGGGTTAGAATTTTTTGAACAGGCAATCAAAAAAGAGAGAGTTGGAAATAGATTTGTCAACACTTTTGGCTGTTGACACGGGAATACAAACGAATTTTCTGCGGCTTTGGTTCAATTATTGCAAGTGTTAATGCATGATTAACAAATTATTTATGGAATTGAAATGTAAGAGTTGAGAGGTTCTCCGAGATTTAATTGACATGACAATGGGCTGTGGAATGCCTGGTGGCAAATATGAAATGCGAAATGAATTTAAATGACTTTTTGGCTTCAAACGGACACCACATCATATAACTTTTTTAGTTTTTCAGAATTGTTTTTAATTAAATTGATTTTAATCTTTCGAAACGATTCACTCTGTGTTAAGATGGCCGTAACTTCTAGCGAAATGATCCATGTTCATTATGAAATAGATTTTTCATTTCCTCACCACAAGGTATATAAATCTGTGCCCACACCTTGTGCCTTCGTCAGTCAGGTGGTGTGATTTCTTTTTTCTTTTATTGGTTAGCTAAATATTGACTTTTTTGACATAACCATTTAATTTTATATAGAAAGCCGAACAAACATTCAGCATAGGCATAGTACATAAGGGGACTGACTGACTGTACATAATGCAAAGGCAAAACAAAAAATGCAAAAATCGCATTTCAAACATAAAAAAAGGCGTAAAATTAAAAGTGGGGAAAATATGATGCTCTGTCTGTGTTTGCATTTACACTGAGTTTGGGTTTGTTTGGGCCAGGGTTTGGGGGCTGGAGCCTGAGGGGGCTTTCCGATTGTGTTAATGCGTAGTTTGGGCTTTTAACTAATTAACATTTAGCGGTTTGGCAATATTCTCGGCCGGCTCTCTGCTCGCATTCCCTCACAGATTGCGGGGGATGTTATTAATTGAAAAATGTGTAAAAAGTTTTGCGCGCTCTTTTATTATTCATAATTTGTTGCTGTGTTTTTTATTCTTATTTTTTTTTTTTTTTTGTTTAATTCTGATTAATGCATTTTTCACACCGCTCTTTAGGTTTTTGTATTAACTTGTTCAGAATCACAAAAATATTTCCGCTTTTTTCACAGTTTCTTTTTTTTTGTTAGTCAGTTGATGAAAAATGCATTGCCCGATGTTATGCGATACAGTTTTTTACTTTGTTTTCACCTTTTTTACATGGCTAGTTTCTTATGCATTTTAATGATATTTAATTTCACATTTTGCCATAGCAGTTTGTTTTGTCTGCCTGTTTGCACTAATCATTAATTAATTTCACATCACTTAAAATATGCAATTAATATTATGTGTGTTTCTCATAATTAAAAATAATGCGTTCATCTTATTAGAAGCCAACGCCCGAGGCTCTCTTGTAAACGATGTTAGCGCCGCGCTAGTCTTTGATTAACTGATCGCTCTGACCAGGATTCTGGTCAAATTTACCTCATAGCGGAACATCTGCCGACTAACGGCTGGCTATGCCTATAATGTCTCCTAAATCTCACTCTGGCGCTGGCCCAGCGATCTTCTCAGCCTATCGAATTTCCAGGACCCGAAAAACCATGATGGACCAGCTACGAATCAGGTGTTTTTCGGTGCCCAATTAGTTTCAGCTTGATTGGACCAGATCAACTCAAGGCTCGAGTCGGTGAAGTCGAGTAGAAAAATGTTCGCTCATCGAGCTTTTGAAATTGCGAGGAATTGAGCTGGGAACCCTCGAGAAAGCAGACTTGACAGGCCAGCGGGTCTCATGATTTCAATTAGGACCACATAATAAAACATATTTTGACAATCAAAAGACTTCGAAAGGCAACAAATATAATAAAATGTACAAGGGTTTCACGTGAACTTCGAAAATTATGCTATATTTTAGATATTTCTGATTATAATAACCAAATTTTTTAGAAATTTTGAATTATTATATGTACATTTTTTCACTAATTTTGGAGGTCAACTTATATCGTTG